TATATGACAACTTAGCCCCTTTGGCTGACTCCCCCTGCAAAAAAAAAAAAAAAGGAAGGAAGGAAGAAAGGAAGGAAGGAAGGAAGAAAAGAAAGAAAGAAAGAAAGAAAGAAAGAAAGAAAGAAAGAAAGAAAGAAAGAAAAAAAATGTGGGTGCTTCAATTCATTCCTTTTAGTGTTTTGAACAACAGTCACTGAGTACCTAGCATGTGCCAAGCATGGCACTGGGTGCTGTGGGTATAGAGATGAGTAAAACAAGATCCCTATTTGGGTAAAAAACAAGGGATTACCCAGCAAACATCCAGGAGGGTTCCAAAGTGCCCAGAAATTGAAGAAGGCGGTGGAATCATGGAAAGATTCCAGGTAGGAGTGACCTCTTCCCTGAGACTCTGAGAGTGGGAAGGAGTTGGGGAGCCCTGGGAACCATGTTAGGAAAGCCCTTCCAGGTTCTTGCAGCTGATAAAAGCCCCTACGCTGCCCTCTAAGGTTTCTCAGAGGGGGGCTGTTTCAGCAGGATCCTGGAGTATGAGTCAGAGCTCAGGCAGGCAGGGTGGTCGACGACGCTTCGAACAGAAGGGACTATGTTGCAGCGAAATGGGAAGAAGTACTTGAGAGAGGTACAGTTGGAAGTAAGCTGGGAGCAGACCCAAGCTTGTTACCCAACAAGAGGTCCGAGGGGGGGGGCAGTATTTGGCCCACCTCGGGACGCCAAAAACTGCTACAGAACAGGGGCCCCTCCCAAGGACGGAATACTATTATCTACTGGGCTCTTCTGTCCGCTGCCAATTGGAAAGACATCTCTCAATGCCAGAGATTTGTGAAAAGGAAACAAAATGTTTATTTAATGCTATTTAGGCCTAATGCCTCCACTAAAATATCAAAGTCCTTTAGGGTATACACCTATGCACACACACAGCTCTCCCACTGTTCCAACTCCGTAAATCAGGAAAAGAGCACACGTCTGTGTTTCGGACGTGTCACCTGCAGCTGTGTCACCATGCAGGTGTGTCACCGTGCAGGCAGGATCTTTCTCTAGTTAATCCAAAGTACTCTCCGTGGTACCCTCTCATGGTCCACTGGCCAGGCCATGCAGCCAAAGCCACGTGGGCCTCTTCTACCAAAGCTGCAGGGGTCCACACTCCACCAAAAGCATGTCTTTCTTCTTCACCTGGCTGCAGGGATCTCCATTCTGGCCAAAACTGCGTAATTTTCCCTTTCACCTGGGAAAGAGGGGATCTGCACTCTGCCGAAACCACATGGCTCTCTTCACCTGGCCAAGAGGGGGACCCTTACTTTACTGAAACCGTGTGGCTCTCCCTTCTACCTGGCTGCAGGGGTCTGCACTCTGGCCAAAACTGCATGGTTCTCCCTTCAATAGCTGCCGCATCTGTGTTTAAATCTCCGCACCCATCCTCCTTTGCAGCCCCATTTCCAACTCCTCCTACAATCAGTTACACCTGCCAGGGCTCTCGTACCCTCCCAGCTTTACTGGGCTGCCACCATTAGTCTGGGCAGATATGGCCCCGTGGCATGGAGCTAATCAATTCCAAGCTCTCACGCAGGCTGTGACTCAGGGGGACCAGCCCCTAGTTACATCTTGGACAGAAGCCACTTCCTTCTTCCTGGCTCAAAGCATGTCCACAGCTATTTAACATATCCATGAAACCAGTTAAAGGTTATAGATATGTTAAATAATTATTCTAGAGGTTAGCTGCAGAACTGTTGCTATGCAAAACAGCTCTCAATGGCCCTGACTCTATTTGTCCCTTCCCCCGGGGGCAGGGGGTGAGGACATCTTAATATTTTCTGGACACCCTGAGCTCTGGACCCCATCCCAAATCCTTTTCTGGGCCCCCCCTCTTGGCTGCGCCCTGTTACAAGCTGACTCCTTAGATGCTGATGAGTTCGGAGGATTGGTGCTGGGTGGGTGGGGAACCAATATATAGGCTTAGGTCAGGTGAGGGTTTTAGAAAGTCCTCTAGGAAACTAGATAAGGAGGGAGGGAGAGCAGTTAAGTTGTTGAAAAGAATCAGAACTTGGACCTACCCTGAAGCTTACTTAGTTTGGGGAGACAACACTCAACCTGCAGCTGCTATGGGACGCACACGGAGGCACCAGACATGGCACCTGGCACCACCCATCACACCTGAGACAGAATCAGGAAGGGTCTGCAAAGACTGTGCACTTATTACAAGGTACAGACCTGTGCCAGTACTGAAATACCGCGTGCTGGCTCATTCAGAGCCTGTGTCATGAAGAGACAGTTATAGTCCAGAGTGGTACACGCTGAGATGACAGGCGGCATCAGGGCAAAATCAGAGCCACTGGGCCCCCAAGTGTTAAAAGAAGAGGTTGGGTAATCGACCACCCAAGTGTCTCTGGGCTCAGGGGGCCAACCCCCACCCCTGTGAGCATCCCCTATGCCCACTGTCCTCAGCTGGGCTAGCCCAGAAACAAACCCTAAGAAGAGAACTTAGAACAAGTAGTTTCCTTGTGTCTGGGAGGGGTCCCCCAGAAGTACTAGTCCCCTATTTTTGGTAAGTGAGACAGGCCAGGGAAGGAAGCCAGCAGTGAGTGTGTTACTGAGCAGGTTACCACCACCAGAGGCTGGGGCTTCCTCTGAGTTGCCAGATCAAATGGTGAGGAACTGGGTATTTATCCATCCACTCTGGTTTGTTCACGCTGAGAGCTGCTCCTAGGGGTGCCTGCCCCTCACTGGCTGAACCCAAAACTCCCCTCCCAGTCAGAGAAAGACCCAGGCAGAAAGAAAATGCTCTTTTAATTGCTGAGGGCAGGACTTCTAAATTACCTGCTGATCATGATTGCGACTGTAATCTACCTGGTGCCAGTAAGCACTTGTTTGACGTCTCCCTTCTGCATTAGAATAGAATTTCCCTGAGGATAGACTAGTCACCACTTTACCACAAGTGGGGGTGGGAGGGGCTAGTTCAGCGCCTGGCTCATTGGCAGGTACTCAACAGATACTTAATTGAATAAATGTGATTTAGAGGTTGATAAGTTCATAGTAAAGGCCTAATTCTATCTAAATACTTTTTCTAGCCCTTATCTTCCTCTGTTTTCTCCTCCTCTCCCAACCTCCACCCTGGTGTGGCAGAGCCTGCAAGTTGTTTCTGAATAGTTAGCCATCCATCCATCCATCCATCCATCCATCCATCCAGATATATGTACACTTGACCCTCGAACGGCACAAATTTGAACTGCACAGGTCCATTCACATGTGGATTTTCCCCCCATAAATATACGCAGATCCCTGAGAGTTCTTCATTTGCAGATTCAGCCAACATTTCCCATTTGTGGTTGGGAATCACAGATATGGAGGGCTGGCTGTATGCATTGTTCTACTCCATTTTATATAAGAGACTTCAACATCCAGAAATTTTGGGATCTATGAGGAGGATTCTGGAGCTAATCCAAGGGACGCATATCCTAGGGGATGAATGTAGTTTGGGGAAGTCAAAAGTTATTTATATGTGGGTTTTCAATAGTGAGGGGGTCGGCACCCTAAACCCTGGTGTTATTCAGGGGCCAAGTAACTGTATTTCCCTTCCTCTAGATTAATAAATGCCCTGGTATTTAATCTTGCCAGGGACTGCTTGGAATGAAAGGCACTTTTCCCAGATTTCTTCAAAGTCAAGACTGCCCCTGTGTCTGAGTTCTGACCAGTGGTGGGACTGACAACTGCGTCTCTCAGGGTGTGTCCTTGTGGGAGGAGATGCCCCCCATGGTCTTCGCTTCCCTCCTTGCTGGCTGGAATGTGGCGGTGATGGCAGGGGCGGGAGCAGCCACCTTGGGTCATTAGGTGGAAGCCGTGCACCGTGGGAATGCAGAGGCCAGAAGACCCGCAGCCCCTGATGATGGGGCAGCCATGCTCCATCCCTGGGCTGACACTCCAACCTTGCCTTACAGGACAGAGCCCTCGACTACTGCCATTGTTGTTTGGGGTTTTCTGTCACCCACAGCTGAACAAAGTAATCCTAAGTGGCACACAGAAGGTGGCTGTTAGATTAACTTCTGGGAAGAGGAGGGAATAAATGAATCCCAGACAGATCCACCCTCCAGCTACTCCGACAGAACCTCTTTCCCTTCGGAATGTTCCAGACACGCCCACTGCAAGTCCTGGGGCAGGGGGCACGGTTGCTCTGCCGTCGCCTTTCCAACAGTGGCATCAAAGTTCTTTGGGGGTGGGGGAGGGAGAACTCCTTTTCCCACCCAACTTTTCATAGGCATTGGGGAACATAAAGTCGGTGCCTTCTTAGCACTCCCTCCCCCAGGGTGTGGGCCAGCGGGGCGCCACCGGTCCCCTCCCCCTGGCCCGCACTGTGTTTGGGGGTGGACACAAGGGCCGGTGAAATACAGGGAGACAAAGATGCAGGAGTCACAGGGAACAGCCGTGGGCACTCGTTATCAAGCGGACACAGAGATTCTAAGAGCCCAGTGATTCAGAGCAGGGGCCCTGGGGGCTGCAAAAGCGGGGGAAACCTACTCTCCCCAACGACCCGGCTCCATCCATCCATTCGTCACCTGCCCTCTCCTCCCCCAAGCTTGGCTGTCCCAGGGCTGCCACAGGGACGGAGCCCGGCAATGAGAGGTCTCGGGAAGGAGGCAACCCCACTGAGTGGATCTGTATACGTTTTCCGGGAAGGGTCTGAGGGCCGGTGTCACCTTGGACCAGTCCCACGCGCTCCTCGAGCCTCAGTTTCCTTTGCGGTGCCCCAATAGGTGGCGGTGGTTTAGCTCTCCTTAACCAGGGGCACCTGGGAGGAGGTCGGGGTGCGTGGGTGGAGATGCGAGGCGCAGGACGCAGCACCTCCCGGCCCGGGACCGGCTGAGCGGGCGCGGCGCTGCGCGGCTGCGGGGTGTCGGTGGCCGGGGCGGAAGGCTGGGGACCCCGCCTGGCCCCTCCCGCAGGCGGGGCGGCCCGCGCGGCTCCTCCCCCGCGCCCGCCGCCCGGCGCCCGCCAGGAATTAGTCGCAGCGCGCGGTTCCGCAGGTGGCAGCGATGGCCCAGTCCTGAGCGCCGCGCCATGGCCCGCGCCCCCGGGCCGCTCCGCCTGGCACTCCTGCTGCTCGGGACCGTGGGCATGGCCGGCCCCCGCCCCCAGGTGAGGCAGCGGGCCCAGGGAGGGGGGCGGGGGCGCCGCAGGGTCTTGGCAAAGACAGTGGGACTTGAGAGAAACTCCGCGACCTCCGGGGGAGGGAACCGAGACCACCGGGGGCGTAGGGACTGCGGAGCCCGCGCCCGGAGCTGGGTGGCAGAGGTGGCTTGGCCAGCGGGCGACCGCCCCTGTCCCAGGCACGGCGCCCGCCTCCTGGCCGCCCCCGTCCCTCTGCCTGGGAGCCAGCTGCCCCGCAGCCGCTGTGCGCCGCCGACTTCTGCTCCGCGTCTCCCCAGACACTTTCCCAACTCCTCCTTGGAACCCGGAGCCAGCCGCCCTGCCCCTGCCCCAGCTCGCTCCCTCCCACTGCGCGCGACCCCTGCCCAGCAGTGCCTACCCCCAACCTGCAAGCTCGCTGGTCAGAGACCCCCCACAAGACTTAGGGAGCGCAAAAGGGCCAGGATGTGGACACCCAGCTCCATTACCCCTTATCAGCCCCCCAGCACCGGCTTTGACTCAGCCCCAGGGACGCAGCTTCTTGTCCTTCCTGGTGACCTCCCAGATGGAACTTGTCGCACCCCCCCACCCTGCCGCAGACAGTCAGGAGGCTCCTGCAGCCAGCCTCCCCATGCACTAGCCTAAGCCCCCACTCGACCCCCTGGTTGACAGCACACACCAGAGCACAGGCTGAGACACATACCTTGGCCTCCTGCCTGCCACTGGAGAGCAGGCCGCCGCAAGGACCTCTGAAGCCCCTCTTGGCCTTCACTGTCTCACCTGTCTTTCCCGTGTCCAGACTCTGGCTCCGGGGGCTGTGGTCAGCCTGCTTTGGGGGAGGGGAGTTGTCCAAAGATGCTGTGAGATGCTGGAGCAGGGAGGCGGCACAGGCTTGGGTTGACTGCCCTGTGTCAGGAACTGCCTCTTCCCATTCTCTCCCGTTCCTACCCCCAGACCTGAAGAACCCAGAGCTCTGGGGAGTGGGCCCACACAGGCCTTGAAATGTGTCCCAGCACAGGTGGAAGGCAGGATTAGGGGCCATTGCCCTGGGAGAGGGGCCTACTCTACCCCCTTGATAATCCAGATGTGGACAGATGTGCCTCCCAGCTAAGGTTCCAGCACATTTTCAGCCCTCAGACTTCTTTCCAGGTTCCCTCCCTCTCCCTGCCCCCCAGCACTACCACCCTAGTGCAAGAGACACCTTTCCCTCCCAATAGCATCTCCCCCGCCCCTCAGCCAGGCCTTGGCTTTCCTGGTGCACTTGGGATCTTTCTGGAGACAGGACTACAGACCAGTTACATGCTTCTCTCTCACCTTCGCCTCCTCCCCTGACTGGGATGGGATGGGACGGGGTTTGCATTCTGGTCCAGACCAAGTTTGCAGACTGGTTTGGATTAAGGGAAGAGAAGAGGTTCTGGGGGCTGCCTGTCTACTCCCCAAGGTGCCTTCCTTTACCCAGAGGAGAGGGGCTCCCTGAAGTTGCCCTTTCTTCTAATCCCCTCATTCCTCAACCCTGGACCAAGGGCAAAAGCCAGATGTCTTGGCACCATAACAAGGCTGAGAGGCAGAGGAGGGGAAGATGAGCCAGGCTCCGAGCAGAGAGAGTGGAGCCTCAGGGTATGCCCTTGTAGGGGGACCCGAGCATCTCTGGCTGCCACAGAGATCTGAGGGACAGGAACTTTGAGATTAGATTGCAATAACTGTGACACAACCTCATGCCCGCATGTAATATTCTAAAAAAAAATGGTAAAGTTTTGCATTCTGTTTTCTGTTCATGAGGTTGGCAAGACTAGAGTTACTCCCTCCCTGCCACTGATGAGGGGACAAGAGCAAAGTAAGAAGTGTTCCCTGTGTAAGGTGACCCAGCTGGTCAGGAACGGAGAGGAACAAGGGGTCCGGGGCTGGGCTCGTGCCCAGCACCTGCCTGCCCAGGTGGGACTGGAGGAAGGTCAGAGAGTGAGAGCTCCGTTGTCACGTCTGGCCAGGCTGGCAGCAGCTTCCCTGCAGGCTTCCATTGAGCCTGCTCACTGGCCGAATTGAGCTCTGAAGAAGGAACCTAGGCCACGCTATTGCTGCCGGGAAGGACCACCCCACCCCTATTCCTTACTTTCCCAAGAGCCCTGTGAGGGAGCTGTTCTGCAGGGGGATAGGCAGGCCTTTGACACCCAAAATTACCAGACAAAGCTGGGTTCACATAATGAGCCTGTTAGTAGCTGGCAATCCTGCGGAGGACAGCTGACTGCCTGGAACCTCAGTGTCCTCCTCTGTAAATAGGGACTACAAGCTCTCCCACACAGGCTTGTAGAGAAGATTGAGACGCTGGCACCTGAGGCAGCAGCTTCTGTCGCTTGGCAGAACGGACCCATTTGTCCTCGGGAACCTGGAAGCCTTCTTCAGGGCAGCAGGACAGGGCTCGGAGAGGGGCTCGGAGAGGGCCCGGTCCGCCCTCCCGTGAGGGGCGGAGGGAGGCCGGGGTGCGTAGCGTCCAGCATGGACATCGTTCTGAGCAGGGTTCACTCCCGCACATGGACCCAGCGGGTGCTGGGGCAGGAGCAACCAGGGAATCACACCCTGCCCTCTGATGCCACCTGCCTCTGTGCAGATTCCTGTGTGTGTGTTGGAGAGATACAGAGATGCAGACATGGAAGCAGGGAGGGAGAAATGGAAGGAGACGAACCAGGGCGTGAGGGCTGTGTGGGCCTGTCTCTCTGTGTCTTTGTACGTGACCCTGTATGACGGTTTGTTCGTGAGCGAAATATCTCAGCAAGTAATTGTGTCTGGTGGTGTATATGTCTTTGTGACTTCATGTGTGATAGTGTGTCTGTGGGAAGGTGTGTGTATGCGACATCTTTGTGTGTGACTGGGTGTCTGCCAGTATGAGCCTGTGTGTGGGTGACAGACAGAGTGCTTGTCACAGAGTGTGTGGCTGTGTCTCTGTATGTGCGTATGTGACAGTGTGAGATGAGAATGTGTCAATTAAGGGCTGTGTGTATGTGTCTTGGGGATAGTGTCTCAGCATGTGAGTATGTATCTGACTGTGTGTGTTCATGTGCCAGAGAGACTCTGGGTCATGTCTCAGTTAGGTAAGTGTGTCCATGTGTCCGTGTGAGGGTTGTACATGTGAGAATGTGGTGCAGTTTTCCTTTCCGTCATTCAGCTCTTGTATCTGGAACCCTTAAGACAAAAAAAGTGAGGGTGGCTGCTGTCTAAGAGCCAGGGGTCAGACAGCGCCCCCTCCAGGGCACAGGGGCCAGTAGTTTGGGCTCTGGGACGTGGCCAGAGAGGAGGGAGCCTGGGGGTCCTGGAAGGAGCCCTCCTTCTCTCTTCTTTTGGGAGGCCGTCTCCCATTTTTCCCACCTCTGTGGCCCAGGGAGGCAAGGTCTCTTTCCTCCTCCCTTCAGTCAAAATGGTAACTAGAAAAAGAAAGAATCTGAAGAAACTGCAGGAGCAATTTTTCAGGTTAGCAGCCAGTCTCCGGAAAGGGTGCCTTCCCAGGGTGTGGGTGGGGACACCTAGCGTCTCAGGAGCACCCACTCTCACACTGCCCACTGCTACAGGACTCGGCAACTCATAAGGATCCTCACAGACTTTGGCTGGCTGGATCTGTGCAGTGGCTCTTTGAGAGCGATGATACTCCCATGTTATAGGTGAGAGAACTCAGGCCCCAAAAGGAGAAATGCGTCCCTTCGGTCCCAGCTGAGATTTAAGCCAAGCGGCGGGGAGGCCAGAGGTGGTGGGAGTCATCCTGTCCAGCGCTTGCACGCCATTCCCTCCTGGCGTCCTTTGTCACCTCCTGCTTCCTCCCCAAACTCCTGAATCTGAGAGACACCCCCTCCTGCTGTAAACTTCATGCCATTTGCCTTCACCCCGCTGAGAGATCCCGTAAAGCCTGGCATGTCCCAATTTTCAAAACTGCCAGCCGGCCCTCACCCAGGCCCGCAGGCTCCCTCACGGCTGCCCTGTGTTCTGGGCCAGCTGCCCTGTGAGGGGCAGGGGCAGCGGCCACCGTGTCCTCCCCGACACCCAGCTGCCCAGCCCCACCTCGCTGGACTTGGAGCGAGGGCCTCATAGCACAGGAAGATGAAACAAGGTCGGGGCTGGTGGTCAGGGTCTGGTCCCTCCTACCTGTTTTCTGCCCTTGGGCATGGAGTCCCCAGCGTCCCCACTTGGCTTTGCCACCAGCTACAGTGGCTGCTGGAAGATGTCACAGATTAAGCGGATGATTGGTGCGTGGTGTGAAAAGAGTTTGTTGATCCTAAAAGTGATGGAGGGGTGGGGTGCAGACTCCCCAGGAAGCCAGGCTGCTTGTTCCTCTCTTTCCTCCCCCATAAGCAGCAGAAACGGAGAAGAGCTGCCACTGACCTGGCATTTTCCCTGGGCCAGGGGCCACTGCAAGCATTAACTCACCTAATCCTTGAAACCAGCCTGGGTGCGTAGGGACTGTTATTTCCATTTTGCACATGTATAAACTGAGGCTAGAAGTTAAAACTCTTGCACAGGTCACAGACTTAATTTGGGGGGATTAATTTATTAATTCAGTGTCAGGCCCGGGTTTGGGTCCAAAACCAGGGATGTTCCCCCTCCACTGTGTTAACTGAGCTCACCTGAGCACCCGGGCCCAGCCGCGCTGGGTGGCCCCCGGCCCTGTCCCAGACCCGATCCTCACCTCTGTCCCAGGCTCTTCCGCTGCTCTCTCCCTGCCCCGGCACGTCCTCCTGAACATCATTCCGAGGCTTTCCCCTGCTCCCCGGACCTTCAGTGTCCCTACCTCTGTGCCTTTGTCCCTGTTGGGTTCTTCTGCTGAACCCCTTGCTAGTCCAGTCTGTCCCCCACCCACCCTCAGTTCACCCCCAGCTCCCAGCCCCCTGGGGGTCTCCACTGGATTCTGAGCCTGGCCCCGGCCGCTCCCTGAGCGCTTCCACACACTGCCTTCTCTGTGATGCCCTGCAGACCTCACCCCACCCACACGTGAAGGACATGTCCGGGCCTGAGGATGCTCTCAGACCAGAGCTGTGTCCTACATCTTTGTGTTCCTCTATGTCCGCCCATCTGTCCCGCTTGCTCCCCAGCACCACCACCCAGAGTCTGACACATTTTGGCTTCCATGAACACCGGGTTGGGGAGAGGCTTGCGGCCCAGGTGCCTTGTGGGTGGGGGGGTGGGGGGGCGAGGAGCAGGGCTGGGAGATCCCACGCTGGTGCAGAAGATGACAGGGTCCCCACAGTCAAGAAGCTCTCCTTTTGAGGGGAGACACACAGACCCTGTTCTTATTTGTCTCTGTGTGTGTTCTCACCACACTTTACTTTTAAAATTTATTTTTAGTTATAATTGACATATGATATTATATTAGTTCCAGGAGCACAGCATAGTGATTTAACATTTATATAACTTAGATGTGATCACCACAGCAGTCTAGTGACCATCTGTCAATGTACGTGGTTGTGACGATATTATTGATTCTGTTCCCTATGCTGCTGTAAGTTATATCTATTTCTTCACCTTATAACTGAAGCCCCAGTCTGGAGGGGGGACACACCCCATCCTCAGGGAGCCCCAGTCTGAAGATAGAGCAGGTGCGGGGCTGCCTGTGTGTTGAAGCTCCCTGGGGTGGTGGTGGCCCGGCTGCCCTTCCAGGTGCTGACCTTGGCCTTTAACCCCACCCCCCACCCCCATTCTGAGACTTCTGGTTTCCGTGGGTTTCCTTGTCCCCACTCACTGGCCCAGATGTACCTACTGCCCCTGTTCCCAGCAATGACCTTGCTTCCTGACTGTTTTCATCCCAGAAAGAGCTATCAGGGGACATCTCCCCAGCCTCTCCGCCCTCCCTCACCAGCAGCTGCTGCTTTCAGGGGCTGGGAGAAGAAGGAAAAGGGATTTGGGGGTAGAGCTACCACACCAACTTCCAGTGAAGACTGCACTGACCCCTCATTTGTAGCTAAAATCATGCCGCTGCCTTTGCTGTGGTTGAGTTTGATTCTTTGTTCACTTTATTTATCTATTTAACTAATACACTTGAACTTTGCCCTGAGAATAGCTGCATCCCTCAGGTAGCCTAGGTGGCCTCAGCACACTCACTGCAGGAAAGTAGCTGGGGCTCCAGCAAGCTTGGTGCCCTCCCTGGGGACTCCTGTGGGGCCGGGGCCAGCAATGACAGCCTGCGGCTCTTATGGGCAGTGTTTCACAAACGAGGACTCGGCTGCAACGTGGGTGGGGTTACTCAAAAACCAGATCCAGTCCATGCTCAGGGCACCACCAGTCAAGGGTGCGAGTTTCCAAAAACAAGCTATTTTGATTTCAGTGCACATGTGTAATTTGTGATTTCAAACAGTGAAGCTTCGTCCTCGACTGTGTGCAGCTCCTGAGTCTCCCTGGTCATCTCAGCATCTGCAGCCTCTACACAAGGAACATCTCTCATCTTAAGCGTGTTCAGAAAGTAAAATAGAAAATAAAATAATATAATGAAATGAATAAACGGTCCCAAGACATACCTAAAAGAAGTACACAAAAATACTCAGAAAGGACCAGTCTCACTTTGGTGGGTCCATCTGGGTCTCTGTGCTGAAAAGCCAGTTCTGGTACCTTGTCTGAAAATCGAGGTTTGTGTTCCTTTATTCACACACGGGGGACCCTTCCCATTACAGGCCTGATCTCCAAGTTCCCGAACTTGTCTGACTCCTTCACCACGTGTCCTCAGGTCTCCTCTCTCTCTAGTTGATAGAGGCTTAGCTGAGTATTCGATCTGTGTTGTTATGTTAAGAGGGGACCCTGGGGGGTCGTGTTGCCCCCCTAGCCGATTGCTTTGTGTAGGAGGAATCGAATTACCAGGCTCTGTGGCACTGAGTCCCACCACACACACCACCCCCCTAGTAGTCCAGCACAGTCACTGTCTGGGTGGGGGGGGCTCCAGGGTCCAGCCTTAGCTCTGCTCCCCTGGGTGCTGTGTGGCCTTGACTGAGTCCCTCTCCTACACTGAGCCTACACTTCCCCTTCTAGAAGGTTGAAAATGTGAGGATTTTGTGGGTAGGCTGACTGGGTCCTGGAGAGGAGCCCCTGGCAATCACAAAGGCTGGGGTTCTCAGGCGCTTTCTCCGAGGTGAGATGAGGTGAGAGCGTCCCCCAACTCATCCCCTAGCAACATCAAGTTCGTAGACATTTGCTGGGCACTGCTGCACATGAAACTGTGCGCCAGTCCCCTGGGAAGGACAAAGATGTAAAAACATCCCTTTGAAGTGCAACTTGCTCTCTCCTCCTAGTGGAGTTTGGGGCCCTAAGGTCTCCGGGACATGCAGAAACCAAGTGTACTGGGGGTTGGGATTAGAAAAGAGGTCGACTGGAACCGAAGGGCCCCCATTTCTTCTTCTCCCCAGGGTGCCACTGTGTCCCTCTCCACGACAGTGCAGAAATGGCGAGAATATCGACGCCAGTGCCAGCGCTTCCTGATTGAGACTCCACCCCCAGCCACAGGTGAGTCCGGGCGGGGCCCTCACCCAACTAACTGCAAGGAGGCTCCGAAGGCCCCCAAGCCCTGGTGGGCATCACATGCCTCTGAGAGCTGCCACATCTGCCCTGTGCTTCAGGATGTCACTTTGTCGCTGTCTGTTCCCCCGTGTCCCCGGCTCGGGCCCGGCAGGAGCAAGACCTGGCCTATCCATTCTCTGTCCTCAGCGCTTCCCAGCCTGCACAGCGGCCGGAGGCCCAACCAATGGATTTATAGGAATAACTGTTTTGAGGGGCTGGAGGATTGGGGGTGGTTTTTAAAGAGCACAGGACAGGAGACTGACAGGCCCGAGTTCAAATCCTGATCCTGCCATCGTAACACAGCGATCTCTGGAAGCTTATAGCAGCCACGTGAGCTGCCGTTGCCCCCTCACCTGCGATGTGTAATTTAAGGATAGTCCTGTGGGGATTGCTTATTGAGCACTTACAATGCTCAGGTTCTCTATGTGACATACATCATTTGTCCCCACGAAGTCCTGTGGAACCTGGATTACCCCCATTTTACAGATGAACAGAGAGAGATTAAGTAACTTGCTCAAATTCCCACTGCTGGTAAGTGGCCCAGTCTGCTTGCGCATGGCACCTGCAGGGTGGGCAGGGTGCTTGGCGTACAGAAGTTGCTCAGCAGAGGTTAGCAGAGCAGAGGTGTCTGCCCCACCAGCTGCCGGCCCCCGGGTGGGGAAGTGCCTCAGCCAGAACTCAGCAGCGTTCCCCCCACACCCAGGCCTGTTCTGCAACCGGACCTTCGATGACTACGCCTGCTGGCCAGACGGCTCACCGGGCTCCTTCGTGAATGTCAGCTGCCCCTGGTACCTGCCCTGGGCCAACAGAGGTGAGTCCCCCCCCCCACGCATGAACCACCCTTCTCGTGTCCAGGGGGCTGGAGGTGGGGGGTGGAGTTGGAGTGGGACACACACGGTTTCCTTTCCCCTGGGACACAGCCTTCCCCGCCCCAGGGGGGCCTTGGGGCCTGCTCATGGGTGTCTGTGAGGGGGAGGGACAGTAGCGGGTGTCTGATGGAACGTGTGCTCGGGGCCCGTGCTGGCAGGTACGTGGCGGGAGAGGAAAGGATCTGACTTAAGGGAGAAATGTGAGCCCGTCATCCAGGGGTCAGGAGAGGAGACAGGTGGGAACAGATCCTGGGGTTTCAGGAAGGGCCGTTACCCAGAGGTGCCCTTGTGTTGATGTGGGTGTGTATGTGTGTGCGGTGGCTGTTTGTACCTGCCCTCCTCTGACTCTTCAGGGCCTCAGCAGTCAGATGACCCCAACGGGAGTAGTGATCAGGGCATTAGTGGGGCTGCCCTCCCAGCTCACTCCTGCCTGCAGGGGACACCTGGCCCGGGAGAGGTGTGACCAGATAAGTGAGAAGGCCCCTGGAGTACAGAGACCTGTGGCGGCTGCAGGGGGAGCTCTGACTGGGAGGGTGCCCCTCACCCCTGCCCCCTCTGTCTCTGGTATCAGGGAGGCTAACAGGACTTAAGCACCCTGCCTCACGGAGCTCATCTCTGTGAGGGGAGAAAAGACCCTGTCTTACAGTAATAACTATAATAATAGCTGATATTTACTGAGTACCCTCTATGTGCCAAGTATTGCCGAAAAGCATGGTGTTCATTTAATCTTCACAACTACCCCATGGTTATGCTTCTTGTGCAGATGAGGAAGCTAAGGCCTCAGAGGGTTTAAGCCAAAGGGTGTAAATAGCAGAGCCAGGATTTGAACCCAGCCTGTGATCTTAACCACAGTGCCTTGAAAGGGCCTGAGACCAAGCAGAAACCAGCGTAGACGCAAGTGTGAGAATGAGGCCGTACTATGGGAAGCCAGCGGTCTTCCTGGAGGAGGTGGCCTTTTAGTGGTGCATCAGAGCGCCTGGCAGGGCCTGGCGTGAGCTGTACCTCAGACTCAGGACTGAGGTGACATGAAGCCCTGACAGGAGTGCTGAAGAGGCTTTCTCCTTTTGCACCCTCCCAGGTCACCCACCTGTGCACCCACCTGAGGTGCACAGAGGGAGGCGGGACCAGGAAATAGGCAGGCACCTGGCTAACACACACAGTGGCCCTTCACACTCACTGTACATACCTGTACTCATTTAATGTTCGCAACAACCCTATGAGGCCAGTGCTCTGATTATCTTCCCATTTTACAGACGCTGAAACTGAAGCACAGAGATGGCAGCTGACTTTTCCAAGCTCATACAGCTTGCAAATAGCAGACCCAGGATTCAGTCAGGAGTCTGGTTTAGAATCACTGTGTAATTGTCACAGCAGGCTTCCTTGAGTGTGTGTGCATGCACACACACACACGTGTGTATACGTGTGTTCCTGGGCCTCTGCTGGCTGGGCACAGCTTGAGGGAGGCAGTGCGCTACTTGCCCTCTTTCTGGAGACGGAAACGTTGAGTTTTACAATCTAATGGTTCTGTTGGCTGATGTTCTGTGTGGCTGTGTGAGCCTGAGTGAATTCTCAGACCTCTCTGTGCCTCGGCTGGCTCCCCTGGGTAAAATTTAATCTTTCTCACCCACCCTATTTATCTCCCCCACCTCCCGAAATACCTGCACCTGCCCTGCCTCCCAAAGGTTTGGGATGGCTGCCTGGCCAGCCTGTGCTGCCCCTCTAGACCCCCCGGAGCCAGGCTCAGGACAGGGCCCATCACTCAGCACTAAGCGGCCCCCAGCTCTGCCCGCTGCTCTTGCCTCTATCCATCACCTTTAATTTTATTTGAGCAGGAAATAGGTCCTGGCGGTGCCCGTTTATGAGCGAACACATTTTTATTGCTTTCTACACGAAGATAACGGCCACTGCACAGGCCCCCTGCCAGCCTCCGCCCCCGCCCTGACTCACCAAGCTAATTCATGCCCTTTTCTGACACTCAGAATCACCAGCTCTGCCTCCCCTCCCCTCCCTGTCCCTGAGTTAGGGGTCTGCAGAGACACCCACCAGGGCTCCCGCAGTGTAGCCGCTGTCTTTGGCCTGTCCTGGCCGTCCCCTGGGCAGAGGCTGGCACTGGGGGCTTCCCTTACTCCCATGCGAGGCAGGTGGGAGCAGGAAGGGGGCCGTTCTAGAGCTTTCTTGGGCTGATCAGGGAGTATTTCGTGAGTATGGGTTAAGAGGTGGGCAGAAGGAAGGGGGTGTCCAGGCAGGGTCCCACCAGAAAACGCCCTCAGCTGGGAATTTGAAGGGAATTTAGTGGTGGGGTCACTTACAGAGCCTGGGTAGGGCTAAGAGGCCAATATGATATACAAAGCACCAAGGACTACATCTATGGGAAGCTTAGCATCTCCACACCCAAGTGGGGCAGGAATGGCTATGAGACTCCCATGAGAGCTGGAGGTCACAGTGACAGAGAGGCCACCCAGCAGGGCGGAAGCCACTGCCGAACCCTCAGAATCAAGGCAAGAAGGAAGCAAGGGAGAAATACCCCAGCCTCTCTCTTTCTGCCCACCTGCCTTCTGCTGATGCCTCCCATGGGTGGAATTCAGCTGAGGTCAGAGAGCCGAAGTGATGCTGTCCACAGGGGTCAGCCTTCCGGGGTGTTGAGCAGGGCAGAGGAACGAGTGACTAGAGAAAGAATTAAATTCAAAACAATTCCCGGACACCTGGGTTATGTCTGTCAGGAGCTAGGAATGCCAGTGAGAACTTAGGGAGGTTGTGAATTTGTGTGTTGGGGAGAAGGGGTGACCCCTCACCATGGGGCTGAAGAAGTCAGCTCAGCAGCCCAGGAAGTGCACTGAGGGAGGGCAGAGCCACCTCTTTTGCCTGCGGTGTGTCAGGAAGACTTCCAGAGAGAGGTGACATGGGGCCAGGCCTGAAAGAACTGGCAGGTGGAGAAGGGGGAAGGAGGAACGACATCCAGGTACCACCTTGGAGATGGGACCAGGCCTCAGGGCTACACAATGTCCCAGGGAAGGCAGCTCTGGGATTCTGACCCCTTTGATTCAGAACTTGAGACCTGGATCTCACGCAGAGGGCAGGGGCAGATAAGTTGTAGAAGGAAGGTATTCAAAAGAGATTCTTGGTGTCAACAAGATTTTCTCTGTAAACCAGAAGGCCAGAGTGGCTTCCGAGAGCCTCTTGCGGCTTGAGGGCTCTCCAACAGCCTCCGTTTACCCGCAAACAGCTGATCTGCTTGTTACAAATCATTCTGGTCTCATTAGCTCCACCTGCACCTGATCTCTACCTGTTTGTTATCTTAGTTCTAAGTATATGAGTCACGAAATACTTTTAAAATAGTTTATCACTCTCAGGTCTTGGAAAGTCTTGACAGGTGCCTCCCTCGAGTTCCTGTTGGGTGTGGGAGCTTTCACGGCAGGGAGGGGTTGCCAAAGGGAGACAGAGGCCTGAGCTTGGCTTTGGAGGAGTTCTGTCCTGGACCCCAGCCCCAGCCTCAGTGAAGGGATGCCCTTGTGAAACTGGTGGGGGTAGCAGCAGGGCTACCACCGTGACCACGATTTGAAGGCCTCCTATGCACCAGGCACTTCACACGCTTTACCTCCTAATCCTCACACCACAGACCTGGGAAGTCATTGTGGTTCCTATTTACAAATGAGGAAACTGAGACCTGGGGAGTCTGCTCAAGGTCCCATCGCTGGTTGAACGCAGAACGAGGACTTGAACTCGAGTCTGTGTAGTTCAGAACTTGAGCTTCTCCTCCTAGGCCATAGTGTGATGTACCACTCCTCTCCCCGACCTGCACCCCAGGCTGATGGCTTCTGTTCGAGCCCTGCCTTTGCCAGCATTCCACCACTTGGGCAGGGTCTGCGACTACTGTCTGGATCCCAGCTTCCTGGTCCGCCCCGTCGTCCTTGTGGCTGCTTGCTGTTGCCAGGGAGTTAATGGATTCATGAGCAGCTCTCTGCAGCCCTGTGTCCACGTGAAAGGGTGGCTGTTAGCTTGATTACAGACGCTGCTGTAGTTTCCGGGAGGGGAAGTGTTTAATTGGGGGTTTTATTTCCAACACCAGGGTCTGACGTAATGAAATATCCCTGGGCCTCCTGGCATGTGGCCGGCTGCCTCTTGGTGTTGACAAGACCAGAGCCAAGCCCCTGGCTGATTTACCAGCAGCTCCTGAGCCAGATAACGCTGAGCTGATAAAGTAGGGCTGTGCCTGGACTCACTCCATCCCCAGCCATGACGGGCGTCTGGGGACCACAGTCCAGCCAGGAAGCAGCCCTGGCTTTTAATATTTGCTACTGCTAAGGGATAATTGACAGCCACCCTCATATAGACTCTCAGGGACGGGGTGCTCCCTGACGCTCTGCCAGTAACACACATATCTCTGTGCACATACCACCTTCCTGTCCTCCCAGATGGCCCTGAACAGAGAGCCTGGGAATGACGCTGCCTGCCAGGGGTCTGCACTGGCAAGAGGAGCTGCTGGGAGCATACTGAATGTTGGCCAGTGCGAGCCCCAGGAAGGGCAGGAGAGAAACGGCACAAGGCCATTGTTGACTGTTAGCAGCGAGTGGGGCTGCTAACTTTCGGCTTTTGGAGGCAAAGATCTGGGGGTCTGAATCCTGACTCCGTTGCAGCCTGGCTGGCTGATTTCGGGCAGGTCACTTGGCTTCTTAGAGGCTCCATTTCTCCACCTGTAAGACGGGATTAACTGCGCCTACCTCCTCAGGTGCTTGTGATGCTCAAAGGTGTCAGGCTTCAGCAGGTGTTCGAAACCGATTCTGTGAGTGCACAGCCTGCAGATAGAATGTGTAAAGGGGTGTGATGGGTGGGCACCAGCAATTGTGCAGTGCCAGGCTCTGAGCCAGCTGCGGCATGTAGGTGGTACTGGGGTCACACTGCTGCAGGCTGAGTCCTGGCTGAGTGAGCTGTTGGATGGTTTGTGCCCCGTGGCTGTGTCCTGTCCCTCCCCGGGGCCTTCTGCCTCCCTCTTTTCTCACCCCAAATGGGCTGCCAGAGAGGCTCTGACATCAGTCTCACTCCCCACGGGTCAGCCCAGATCCCCAGCACTGCTCTGGGGTTATCTAAAAAAAAGACTTGACCTCTGGTGAAAAATTCCAGGCATCTACCAGCAGATAAGAGATGCATGGGGGGGGGGGGGTTTGGGGCCTGAGATGACAGTTGCTAAAATCAGACCATGTGCTGCCCCTTCTGTGCCTTTGTCTTTGCCTGATTTTGCTCATAAATGCATTAGCGGGCACTGCCGGAAGTCCTGCCAGTGCACTTTCAGGTTTTTGTTTCTCTTCCAGGTGAAGTCTCTTTTAAGTGCAGGGCTGTCCAGCAGTGGTGCTGCAAGCTGACCTACCTCGATGTATCAGTAGATACTCCTGTCTCCTGAAGGGGGACCCGGTTCAGGGTTTGCTTATGACAGGAAGCAGGAGAAACAAGGAGAGCAAGCAGGGAGGCTGCCCTGAAGGACTGGGGGTCAATGTTATTAGGGAGTTCAAGGGTCTCACTGACAGGCCCTGCAGGTGCCTGACAGGGTGGGAAAATGGCTGTCACCAGACCCTGCAATGAAGGTCTCCTGCAAATTACAGTGGTCGGGGGTGGGGTGGGGGCTTGGGAACTGTGAAACAGAGCCCCTGTCCTGATGACCACATCCCTCATGGGCCCCAGCGAGGTAGCCTCTGGGGCCACAACGCTCCCACAGACCAGATGGCCACCTCTCCACCTGCAAACCTGCCCACCCAGAGCCTTGGTGGCTCTCCTTCACTTTGCTCCTTCCTCCCACGGTTGGAGAGGCTAGTCTTTAGACCTTTTAGTCCTTTAGAATGTTAAAATTTCTTAAAATTTGTCTTTGCTCCAGCTTCCCTCCTTGATCACCCTATGCTACTGACTGCCCTGTCCATTTGTCCCATTTCCTGGCCCCGGGGTCACAATCATTCTCGCGCAGGGAGATTGCAACCCTTTATCCCCTTCTGTGACCTCTCAGCAAACCTGGGCCACACCACACATCTCCCTGGGGAGGCGGACAGTGGGGCAGGCCCGGGGCACTGCCTCAGTGTCAGGTGCACGGCCAGGATGTGAGTGAATGGGCACAGCTCAGGGGGCCTGTGTTTGATCTCTCTTGGTTTGCATTTGTGCTCTTCCTTTTTAAGGAGCTCTTTTGTGTTCTTATTTTGTGGCAGTCTTGATTCCCTAAAGCCAGGAAATATGCTTCCTTCCTCCTTCAGGAGATGGTTCCTTGATGACAGGGCCGAGTACCCCCTTAGACTGGGGCTCCCTACTTCAGGGCCCCATCCCTTTCTTCTTCTTAGGAGTTCCCTACTCACTCTTCCTCGGATGTGCTCTGTGCAAGGAGTGGGGGATGGAGATGGCACTGAGTCCTGAGACTTAACTCACAGCAGGTGGCTCTCAGGCTGTTAGGGCCACTCCTGGTCCACAACAGACCTTATCAGTAGTGTGATTTGAGGCTTGGGACGAGGACATAGAAATAGGATAGTCATGTCCCCTCCAAGATAGGGGACATGATTGTTGCAGTGTAGCCGTGAGGAAAGGTTGGGGGTGGGGTAGGTGGCCCACACCTTGGGGACTGCCTTTCCTGTCTCTGGGCCAGATGGGCATATGGCAGGCCAGGAAGGCCCTAGTGTATGTGGGGGGGCATTTATGTAAGAGGTCAGTCCTGGGGGAGACCGTGACCCCAGGGTGGAGCGGATCTAGAGGCATGTGGCACTGGGCCAAGGCTCAGCTCCCACGTGTCTCCACCCCAGTGCTGCAGGGTCGCACGTACCGGTTCTGTACTGCTGATGGCCTGTGGCTGCACAAGGACAACTCCAGCCTGCCCTGGAGGGACCTGTCAGAGTGTGAGGAGCCCAAGCGACGGGAGAGAGTGAGTTGAACATGGGGTCTCTGAGCCCCCGAGGGGTGTCGGCGCAGGGACCCTGGGCACTGGGTATGGTCATCGTCCATCCCACTGCCTGTGGGGACTTTGTACACCATGCTTTCTGGACAGAGGTGGCGTGTGTTCGCCTCTGACCTTGGAACATGGTCCTGGAAATCTGGAGACCATCTCCATAGGTTATTCTTCTTGTTAGTTCTCTGGTGGGGCTTGTTAGATCCCTGGTGGGGCCAGACTTGGGGCCCCACTTCTACCCCATTGCATGGGAAAGAAGGATGTGGGAGAGGAGGGCACGGGCTGCCCCATGTGCACTGTGTCCCTGTGTGCACGCAGAGCTCCCTGGAGGACCAGCTGCTGGCCCTTTACATCATCTACACAGTGGGCTACGCACTCTCCTTCTCTGCTCTTGTCATCGCCTCGGCCATCCTCCTCGGCTTCAGGTAAGGGGGCCTGCGGCCTCGTCTCAACTCCCTGCTCTGTCCCCGGATACAGGAGGGAACACCAAACCAAAGGAACAGTGCAGCAGGTTCTTCTCTTAAAAGATCTCTGAAGAGCTCACACCATAGAATATGAGGTTGAAAACATGGGATCTGACGCTATGTGCCCAGTCTAATCTCTAGTGTTTAATGTGTGCATTTAATGATACTGCAAAAAAGGAAAAACACCACATGTACACACCAGGCCCCCTCCCCAAGCCTTAACAGTGGACGGTAGAACTAGGGGAAGTCCTGCCCAGGAAGCGTGTGTAACTCAGATAATCAGGAATTCAGTTTTAGACGAAACCTCAGGGGTTTAGAGATTCTGCTCTCTTTGGAGCTTGTCAGCCCTCCTAGAAAGGTCTTCCTAGATGAGCCTCCTCCAGAGTACCAGGTTCTTCCCACTCCCTCTGCACTTGGTACGGGTGGCCCCGGGGGGCTGGCTTCAAGGGCAGGAGGGACTCTGAGGGCAGGGAGCTCAGGATACCCATCAGCAGGAACAGGAGAGGCGGAATCCTTCCTGTCTCCCCATGGTACCTGGCACAGTCAGTGCTGGGCACACAGTCAGTGCTCAGTGCGTTCATTCAAGGAGTGCATTTTATTATGAAGCATTTCAGTGATTCAAAGACATAGTGGCTGATACTGTGATCCCATGCACATACCATGCAGCCTAAGAACCACACAGTTATGCTTCCCAGGGTAACGTTCCTCCCTGCCCCGTCCCTGGAGAGAGTCCCTAATGGGGCTGCTTACCAGGCATTTCTCTACGCTTATACCAGATTTGTAAGTATCTGTAAAAATATATAGCCTGGGTTTTGCTTACTTTTCATGGCATGTTGGGCATATAATCTGCAATGTTATTTTTGGCTTGGCAGTGTTTCTCTGAGATTCATTCATGTTGAAACAGGTAGTTCTGCTTCATTCATTTTAACTGTCACTCTGCACTGCATTGTACGATATAGCACAGTTTATTTCTCTCTTACTGTTTTAGTGGACATTTGAAGTTTTTCTCTTCTGAATTATAAACCTTGCTACAATGAACATTCTTACCTCTGACCCCTCGTGCATTTCTCCGGGGGCACATACCTCTGAGTAGACTCACCTGATCTGAATTCTGCCTGCTTTTGCAAATCATTAGGTGTTGTTAAGTTGCTCTCCAAAGTGATCATACCCGTTTGCCCTCTCACCAGTAATAAAAGAGAGTCCCTTGCCTTAATATCCTGACCACTATTTAGTATTTGTTGCTAAAGTGTGTGAAATATCTCATTATGATTTTAATTTGCATATCTCTGATTCCTAGAGAGAGCAACATTTTAAAAAAATGTTTTATTCTGTGAATTGCTTGCTTGTAGAATTGCTTACTTTTTACTGGCTTTTTTGGGGTTTTTCATTTTTATCTTAGGTATTCATTATATAGTCTAGATACCAAACCAGGAAATGTCCTCTCTTAGTCTGTGGGGTTTTTTTTTTCCACTTTGGTGGTTTTTATGCACAGAAGACCTTAATTTTATTGAAATGAAATATATCATTTTTATATGTTTTTACTGATAAAATTCATCAATGAATGTTATCATTGATAAAAATAATTTCATCAGTTTAAATGGTAATTTAAAAATTACCATTTTTTTGGTCGATTGAGCGCAGGCCTGCAAACCACACGGTCCTGGTTTGATTCCCAGTCAGGGCACATGCCTGGGTTGCAGGCCAGCAGGGGACGCATGATAAGCAACCATACACTGATATTTCTCTCCCTTTCCCCTTCCCTTACCCTCTAAAGATAAATAAATAAAATCTAAATAAAATAAAAAAGAGAGTCTTCCTAACTATGAATGTGATATATCTTTCACTAATTAAATCTTCTTCAGTGATTTTAACCAAGTTTTATGGTATTCTCCATAGAGATCTTGCCTATCTTGTATTAGACTTATTTTTGGTAGCCAATTAAAAATATTGTTAGTAAATTTTTAAAATTTAATTTTTGTTGGTTGCTAAACTCTCTTATTAGTTCTAATAATTTGTGTCAAGTGTCTTCTTTTCTTTGAAGATAATCTATCATCTACAAATAATAACAACTTTCTTTATTCCTACATCTTATGTACTTTTCCCTCACCTTACTGTAGTGGCTAGGATCTGTACTTCAATGTTGAATTAATGTGTTGATAGCTTCTTAAGGTTAGATGATCTTTAATTTTTTTTAAATATATTTTATTAATTATGCCATTACAGTTGTTCTATTTCCCCCCTTCATTCCCTTCCACCCTGCACACCCCTTCCTGCCCTCCCCCTGTCTATTTTCTACTACCATCTATGCTACTTATTCTCTGTACCTTCTCCCCCTCTTTCCTCCTCCCACTCCCCTGTTGCTAACCCTCCATGTGATCTCCATTTCTGTGGTTCTGTTCCTGTTCTACTTGTTTGCTTAGTTTGTTTTTGTTTTAGGTGTGGTTGTTAATTATTACATGTTTGCTGTCTTTTCACTATTCATATATTTTTATCTCCTTTTTCTTAGATAAGTTCCTTTAACATTTCATATAATAAGAGCTTGGTAATGATGAACTACTTGAACTTGACCTTATCTGAGAAGTACTTTATCTGCCCTTCCATGCTAAATGAAAGCTTTGCTGGATAGAATAATCTTGGATGTAGGTCTTTGGATTTCATGAGCTGGAATACTTCTTTCCAACCCCTTCTTGCCTGTAAGGTCTCTTGAGAAATCCGCTGACAGTCTGATGGGAACTCCTTTGTAGGTGACTGTCCCCTTCTCTCTTGCTGCTTCTAGGATTCTCTCCTTCATTTTAGTCTTGGCTAATGATGATGTGCCTTGGTGTGTTCCTCCTTGGGTCCAACTTCTTTGGGATTCTGAGCTTCCTGGATTTCCTGGAAGTCTATTGCCTTTGCCAGACTGGGGAAGTTCTCCTTCACTATTTGTTCAAATAAGTTTTCCACTCATGGCTGTTCCTCTTCCCCTTCTCATACCCCCATAATTTGGATGTTGGAACGTTTAAAGATGTCCTGGAGGTTCCTAAGCCTCTCCTCATTTTTTTGAATTAATGCTTCTTCATTCTTTTCTATTTGGTTGTTTCTTTCTTCCTTCTGGTCCACTCCCTTGATTTGAGTACCAGTTTTGTTCCCATCACTATTGGTTCCCTGTGCATTTTCCTTCATTTCACTTAGTGTAGCCTTCATTTTTTCATCTAATTTGTGACGAAATTCAACCAATTCTGTGAGCACCCTGATCACCAGTGCTTTGAACTGTGCATCTGATAGGTTGGCTTTGTCTTCGTTGCTTAGTTGTATTTGCTGTGGAGCTTTGATCTATTCTTCCTTTTGGGCCATTTTTTTTTTTTTGTCTTGTCGTGCCTGTTATGTTTTGATGGGTGGAGCCTTAGGTGTTCACCAAGGTGGGTCAACCCAGTTGCTAGGCTGTGATGCTGTATCTGGGAGCGAGGTCAGAGAGGGAACAGTGGTGCTTGCTCTGCTCTCTGTCAGATTTCATTCCCTTCTGCCACTTCCCCAAGCAAACTAGGACCTTCTGGTGTTGATTTTCGGGTGGGTGGGCTTGTGTAGGTTCTAGGACCCTGTGAGTCCATCCAGTGAACTCTCCTGTGAGGCTGGGAGTTTCAATTGGTGTTTTGAGGCTTTATTTCCCCGGGCTGGGACCCTGGGTTGAGTGATCTGTCTCGCTCCCCAGTTTCACCTGGTTTATCTGCACTTGAGTGTGGGACTGCCCGGTCAGCCAGCCACCTTGTGCGCCGTGCCCCGCTTCACAATTGCCACCTTTCTGGGTCTGCCCATTGCCAACCCCAGTCTGGGTCTGCCAGCCACCACCTGCACACCCAGGGTCTGCCTGCTGCCCACTTACGTGCCCAGGGTTTGTCAGCTGCTGCCTTGCGTGCCTGGTGTCACCGCTTTTTTGGCGAAGGCCCCTGTACCCCGTCTTTGCCCCTCTTATGAGTCTGGATGAATGTGTCTATTTTAATTCCTTGGTTGTCGGACTTCCATACAGTTCAATTTTCTGTGAGTTCTGGTTGTTATTTTGTTTCTAAATTATTGTTGTCCTTATTTTGGTTGTGGGAGAAGGCACAGTGTGTCTACCTATGCCTCAGTCTTGGCTGGAAGTCTGATCCTTAATTTTTTCTGATTTTAAAGGGAATGCTTCTAAAATTTCTCGGTTAAGAATGATGTTTGCTCCCAGCTTGGGTAGATAGCCCTCGGCAGTTTAGAAATGCCTTTATATTTCCAGTTTGCTGTGGGTGTTTACATGGCCGGTTGAGAAGATATTTTTGAATCCTTACCATGTATGTGCTCTGTATGGCAGCCTGAGGGCATCTGAGAAGTGGGCCCTGTCATCAATCAGCAGAACAAAGTCCCCGTTGGGAAAAGTAGCCCTCATCACTTGGGTCACACGTGACTTTATAAAAGAGAAGATGCCACAGACAGAGGATAGAATGTGGGTGGGGAGGGGGTGGCGGTGACCACACAGCTGAAGGCTTCGTGGAGAGGCAGGACCTGAATTAAACAAAAGGATTTTCAAGGTTATGGGGAAGAAGGGCATGTTCAGAGGAAGGGAGACGGGCGCACGGCCCCAGAGCCAGAGACGGGCCTGGGACGTGGATTAGCCTGAGGACCGGCGGCTGTGGAGCAGCACATGGGCCACGTTGCCAGGAAGGGCCCTGCTTTCTCTCCCAGACACCTGCACTGCACCCGGAACTACATCCACCTGAACCTGTTTGCATCCTTCATCCTCCGAGCACTATCCGTCTTCGTGAAGGACGCGGCCCTCAAGTGGATGTACAGCACGGCTGCCCAGCAGCACCAGTGGGACGGGCTCCTCTCCTACCAGGTGTGTGCTGTGTCCGGGAAGGGCCTGGGGAGGCATGGGCGGTTGGTGAAGGCTATTCTCCCCGACCCCCCTCAGGCCTGACACAAAAAAAGGCAAGAGCCACCCAGGCCTGGTCCTCAGGAAGTCCCCAGTCTGATGGGAGAGGCAGTCCACCCCTGGGGCTCCCAGGAGGGAGGCGTGGCCCCTGTCCTTAGGAAGTTCTCAGTCTGACACAGGGGAGTGGTCTTTGAAGATAGACCTGGATTTGAAACCCAGCTCTGCCGCTTACTAGCTGTATAGTTTTAGGCAAGTCATTTAACTTCTCTGAGCCTCGGTTTTCTTACCTGATTAGGGATAATATAGTTTCTTCCACCAGGACAGTGAGGATTCAATGAGCTGAATCGGGTTGGGAGGTCAAGTTCTTAGCACTCACTAGCCCTGGCCAGGTGTTAGTTCTCCTGTCCTGCTTCCACCATGGCAGGCCCGCAGCTGGGGCAGGAGAGGGAGGGTGGTCAAGATAGGCAGGGGGCAGAGCTGTTGTCCCCTGGAGACCCTTCCTCTGCCCCCAGGACTCTCTGGGCTGCCGCCTGGTGTTCCTGCTCATGCAGTACTGCGTGGTGGCCAATTACTACTGGCTCCTGGTGGAGGGCGTGTACCTGTACACGCTGCTGGCACTCTCAGTCTTCTCGGAGCGGCGCGTCTTCAGGCTCTACCTGAGCATAGGCTGGGGTAAGGCCCTCCGCCATTCACTGTACCTCCCAGCCTGACCTGTGGCGTGGTGGGTGGGCGATGCTGACCCCTCTTTGAACTGCTGCCTTCAGGCTACCGCTGCAGTGCCAACTTGGTCCTCAGAACACACTGCTGGGCCAAGGCACAGGGCCCAACCACTGGACAACTCTGTCCTGGGTACAGGGCTCACTGCCCACGGGGCTGTCGAGTCACCACAGAGGTTATGGTTACCCTCCCTTGTTTTCATAACCTGTCCCCCGTATGGAAGCAGAGGGCTCCATTCTGTCTGGCCAAATCCACTGCATACACTATTGGCAGTCCCGCACTGTCCTTGAATGCCCCTGCTCCTAACAGCCTCCGGGGACGGAGCCTTGCACCCAGTCAGTTCTGGGCAGCGCAAGCCCAGAGGGAAATGGAGACTCCTGGGCCTCAGGGTTGGGGAGTCTCCTGGGCGGGGGCTGAGGGCTCTGGCTCTGTCACACGATGATGAAGAGGATGGCTCACGGGAGGGCAGGGCAGGTGGCGGAAGCCAGCAGAGGGAAGGCTGGACCACTGATGTACCTGGAGCCCAGCTGGAAATGTTCTAGCCAAAAAAGTTTGCCAAGAACTGTCGCGTCTTTTTTTCCCCTGGAACGTTTCTGGTTGTGCTTCTGCCTCTCTGTGGGATTCCAGTGAGAAAGGGGTGGAATGGGGCGGGGCCTGGGACACCCAAGGGCAGCAACTCCCAGTTCCCCTCACTACCAGAAAACAGACACCCCTGGGCTTGGTCTGGAGGGGCCCACAGGCTCCGCTGGGATGGAGCCGAAGAGGGCCGTGCTGTAGGGCCCCCCCTGACCCGCCACGTGCCTGCCCTGGACCCCACAGGACACACCCTCCAGCTTGCCGTTCATCCATTTACTCCTCTCATCCCCTCCTTCACCCACCTTGGTCTGCTCCCGGGACTTCCGCCTGTCACAGCCACTCTTCCCTCAGAGTCCCTTGTTCCATACTGGCTTCTGCCCCTGGGCCTTTGCAAGGCTGTCGCAGTCCCCCCACCCCTCAGGAGACCAAGCAGGTTGCCTGGCCCCCTGGCTCTGTGCTCTCTCTCTCACACTTCATTGCTTTGTGCTGGTGTTCCTCAGCCACCTGGCTCTGTGTAGCCCCACTGTGGAAGAGCACCTCTAAGGTAGCTTCAGTGTGATCAACATTTGAGAGGGTGGAGAGACCCAGAGAGGGCAGGGCCTTACGGGCAAAGCAGGTGCTGGAAGTAGGCCTCCTGAATCCAGGCTCTGGGCCCCGCTGCCTGTCATGCAGTCTCTAGCCTACACTGTACCTCCTCTTCCGTCCCCTGTGGACCCAGCTGAGCAAGGTGGACCGGTGGACCTAGCCTCTGCACTCAGCTCCCTGCTCCCACCCTTCCTCCCTCGTCCCTGCTGAGCCTTCCTGTTCTCCGAGGCCTCTTCACTCCACTAGAGCAGTCAGACCGGCAGTGGGCAGCTGGAGAGCCCTGCAGCTAACTAAGAGTGGGAATGGGCTAGGCCATTGAGGAGAGCTCTGGGAAGGCTCTCCTAGGGTGGGGGACCGTGTCTGTCCCTTCTGGGAAACAGCGTCAGCACTGGTAGTATCCGTCACCATGGTGACCTGAGGAGAGGAACAATCAAGGGGATGTTGTGATGTGAGCAGTGGAGTGGGGGTGGCTGGTGGAGGATTGGTGGGGATACACAATACCCTGAGGTCTCTAGATAGGAAATGAGGGAGGGGCTCCAGTCCTTTCCCACCACCTCACTCCCCAGCTCAGGGCTCAGGATCTGAGGGGGTATAAGTGCAGGACCTGGGGGAGTGGTTCCCTTTCCCATCAGAGCATCCTTTTCTTAAGGAACAAATACAGGACAGAGAAAGTCTCAGAGCCAATGTGCTGTTGTGATGCCAGGAGTTCTAGTCCAAGTTGGCATGCTTGGGAAACAGTGCGCAGTTTCACATGTGAGCGGAACTAAAGTTAGGACTCCAGCACAGCTGGGGGAGTTCCCAGAAGGCATGTCAGCTGCCGCCACAGCCCATGGCGGCTGAGTACCTCCATAGCCCCCATGAGGAGTCTGCACAGGAGGGAGGCAATTGATGGATGAGGGCCTCCTTACTTCTTAGAGCTAGTTCTCTGTGTCTTACTTGATTCCAGCTTTTGTTCTCTGGCCTATCTTGTTGATTTTGTAAATGGGAGAAAAATGAAGCCAGCAGGGAGTGTGTAATGTTTGCACGTGACAGAGCTGTGCCTGTGTTTTAAAAAAGACTTTGTTATGGAGATGGTGAGGAATGAATGAAGTTCCCCAGGTCTGGTAATGTGAGTGGGCTCCCCAGTCCTGGAGTGGGGCTTCTAGAAGCATGTGGCTGGGGATGACCAAGAAGGAGCTTTCTGTGTGTGTGTGTGGCTCAGGGAGTTGTCCTTGCCTGGAGACCTTCCCTTCTCTAATTGATATATTGACTCTGTCATCATTCATTCCCTTATCATTGAGCATCTTCTATGTGGCAGACTCCACACTATGTGCTGGGGCCTTTGGAGGGCACCTGTCCCTTGCCCATTCTCATGAAAGCCTGTTACTAATGCATCATGGGTGCTGAGAGGTCTGTTGTATTCAAATAAATGGCCAAGGAGAGAGATACCTGATGAGGCTGTGGGCGTCTCTGTGTCCTCCATCCCCATCTGCACAAGCGCAGCAGCTCCAGGGATACGAGCTGCTGTTGAGTGGACGTCATGTGTTGAGGATCTGGATGATGGTGGCAGGAAAGGCTATAAAGTGCGTCCTGCCCTGGAAATGTGCTCCTGGGGGAGAACCCCACAGCCACACGTGCATACACATGGACCCCTTCACCGCATACACACATCTGTGTCCACACACCTAAATACGCACACCTTTGCCTATCTCAGACACCACATCTCAAACCCTGAGAGGGGCAGCCATAGAGACAGGCATGGAGATAGGAGAGAAAGCCATTGAGGGTGGCTGGCATGGGCATGGGATTGCAGTCCTGTGTCCTAGTCCCACTTGTACCCTCCTGAGCTCCTGATCCATCACCATCTGTCACATGAGGATGGACAGTCCGATTATAAGTCAGCAACACACACTGAGCTCTCAGGGTGAACTGAGCACTGAGGCTCTGAAGACGAACGAGGCTCTAACTGGAAACCAGTTGTATTAGTTGCCTCTCACTGCAAACAAATGATCCCACAACTTAGCTGCTTAAAACAATGATCATCCTGCAGTTTTTATGGCCAGGAATCTGGGTTCAACTTAGTGGGCCTCTGGCCCAGGGTCTCCCACAGAGATGCAGTCAGCCATCAACCAGGATACCTGTTACCTCAAGGCTTAACTGGGGTTGGAGAATCTGCTTGCAAGCTCACTCATGAGGCTGAGTGCAGGAAGCTTAGGACCTTGCTGGCTGTTGGGTAGAGGCTTCCATTCCTTGCCACAGCGGCCTCTCCATAGGCTAAGTGTCCTCATGACATGGCAACAGTGTCTCCCTGAGTGAGTGACCACAGAGAGAGAGAGAGCCCAAGACAAGCCTTTTCTAACCTTTAAGACTCTTTCATAACCTGATATCAGAAGTGACATGCCATCACATCTGTTGCACATCGTTGGTCACACAGACCAACCCTGGTACAAGGTGGACTGTGCCAGGGTGTGACTGCCAGGAGGCGGGGATCTTTGGGAGCCACCCCAGAGCCTGCTACCATACCCGCCAAGTCTCAGCCACGTAGGAAGTGCTGTTACTGTGGTCGGTGTTACTGCGGCCACTGTGCACAGTTAGTCGCCTTGCTGGCGTCAAGGATAGGGCTTCTGCTTCCACTCCAGGCTCTTCCAGGCCACTTGCAGATGCGTGTGGGCAGGGAACAGGTGACTGGGGGGCTTCCAGTTCCTGACGGCATTGATGGAGATGGGCATGTGGGCTGAGGCAGTGGAGGAAGGGCATCAGAGAGCTGGCCTGTTCCCTCCTCGTCCACCACGTTGTTGTCCCCACTCCATGGCCCTGTCCCTCTGCTGCTGGGGTGTCTGTGTCCCTGTGTCTCAGCCAGAACCCTGGGGGCAAGCTCTGACAGTACGGCTGGCCCATGCGAGGGGCAGACTGGAGAGCTGGAACACAGACACGATGTGATGGGGACCCTGATAAGGAAGAGTCGGGGGAGCTGGGGGTCCTGCTGGCTCTGTTCTTCATGCACCTAAAACATCCTAGTTCCATACCTTCTAGAAAGTGTGGTTTGGGGTCGGTCAGGGAGGGGGGCTGGAGGTGGGAGATGCCAGGGTAAGGAAAGGCTTTCCGGGTGTGCATGGTGGTGGCCCTGGCCTGCCAGCCGCTCTCCCCTCTCTCTCTTTCCCTCTCTGCTCTTAGGTGTCCCCCTGCTGTTTGTCATCCCCTGGGGCATTGTCAAGTATCTCTATGAGGATGAGGGGTGAGTGTCCTCCTAGGGGTGAGTGTGCTGACATCCCCCCTCCTCATGTGGTTCCTTGGCCCTGGCGCGTGTGGGAGGATAAACTGAGGGACCAGACCTTCATTTATGACTTTAGTTCTCTAAGCCCCCTGTCCACCCACCCTGGGATTGTATGGCAACAAGTGGTGCTGGGCTTAGGGGTGCATGGCGCCCCCTGCAGGCTCCTTTGTAATAACTGTGAACAAAGTGTTATGTTGTGTGGTGCCAGGTACACAAATGATCATGTTCACAGGTTCACGCAGGGGGTGTGTGTATCTCTCTGTGTGTGACTGTGTATTTATGACTGTGTGTATGTGTGAGTGTGTGTGGCTGGAAGGGCTTTGTGTGGGTCTGTGGGACTGGTTGTTGGGTAGCTCCCAGAGGTAGTATTTGTGTGGCTCAGTGTGTGTCACTCTGTCTGCCCACACATACCTGTGTGTCCCTGTGCCTGGCTGTGAGCTGGGCTTTGTGTCCAGCTTGGTGCCTCTGTGTGTCCTCTCCCCTCTCCAGCTGCTGGACCAGGAACTCAAACATGAATTACTGGCTCATTATCCGGCTGCCCATTCTTTTTGCCATTGGGGTGAGTGGCGGTGTGTGGGTGGCCCTGGGGTGTGCTGGGGGGAGGACTGGGGGGAGTGAGAGTCTTGAGAAGGCCTCCAGCCGCCCCGCTATCTGCCCTGCAGGTGAACTTCCTCATCTTTGTCCGAGTCATCTGCATTGTGGTATCCAAACTGAAAGCCAATCTCATGTGTAAGACGGACATCAAGTGCAGGTGACGTAACCAACCTGGCTTTGCTGGGCACCCTCAGCCCCTCCTTCCAGCAGAGATGGAGATCCTGGGGCGCTGAGCTCAGAACCCTACATGGTCCTCTCCCGCCTGGGCCTGGTCTGGGACCCCAAGTCTTACCCTCATCCCTGTACCCGGGCAGCTTTTGGACTTCTGAGGGGGGAGGTGGCTTGACCTCTACCTCCTCCCCTCCAAGTAGCCTGTCCCAGGGCATTTGGGATAGGAAGGTGGCCCGGATGCCAGGCTTGGTGGGGGTTAAGAGCACACAGCAGGGAGCAGAGGTCACGGGAGAGGGCCGGAATGACATCTCCACTCTGTCCCCAGACTTGCCAAGTCCACGCTGACACTCATCCCTCTGCTGGGGACCCACGAGGTCATCTTCGCCTTTGTGATGGATGAGCACGCCCGGGGGCTGCTGCGCTTCATCAAGCTGCTCACGGAGCTCTCCTTCACCTCCTTCCAGGTGACCGCATGGCTAGGGCCCCTCTCGCAAAGTCCTGGGGATGGGACACAGACCAGCCTGTTCCAGGCACATAGGCAGCCTGAGGCCTAGAGAATGGTGGTCCTTGCCCAGAGTTACACAGTCGGAGCAGAGCCTGAGCTGGAATCCCCGGTGTCCCAGTGCCCAGGCCAGTCTCTGCTATAAGCACATTGGGCAGGAAGCCTTCCCACATGTAGCCGTGGGCACCCAGCCTGGCGTCTACTGAACTGCTGCTGGGTGGGGGATGCCCTGCCAGCTGGTTTACACACGCTATGCATTTAATCTTCACAGAACACCAGGAGGTGTGCAGGATTATCCCCATTATACAGAGGAGGAAACTGAGGCTCAGAGGTGTTAAAACAGACTTGCATAGTCACAGTTTCCAAAGCTAAGAATCGATCCTCTCCACTGGTATTAGATGGTGCTGCAGGGCCGGCGGGTGTGTAGAAACATAAGAAACCGGGCCCAGCCCCTCGGGAGGCTTATGGGATGGCCACCAGCATGTGGGCCATGTGTGTGCATTTGCACACACATGTGCATGCGCACATGCACACACAGAGTTCTGGAGCATGTGTCACTTGAGTGAACACATGGGGCTGGACCAGGGAAAATTCCCCGTAGTCACAGGTAATGTCCTTTCTGGGGTCACGTGTCCCTCAAAGAAGGGGCGAATGAAGAGCTACACAGTATCTGGGCAAGAGGGCTTCTTGTTCCTCCAGATAGGAAAGGAGAGGGGCTGCCCAGTCTGAGCTGGGGGTGGTTGGGCTGGAGCCCCAAGGAGCCTGAGACAAGGGCCTGTCTGCAGGGCGCCTCCCTCCTGCTCCTTCCCTGCTGATGTGACTCTCGTTTCCAGGGGCTGGTGGTGGCCATCTTGTACTGCTTTGTCAACAGCGAGGTAAGGCCTGAGGTGGGGACCCTGCGGGGCTGCTGCCATCAGCTGTTCTGGAGTTATGCCCTGGGGACTCCCTTCAGTCTGTTCAGCTCAAAGCCCCTACCCACCAAACCTGTGGAGGCTTCTTGTCCATGTATTCTGTTTTCTGCGCATGGGTGGGTCTCTCTCACGCACTCACATGCGTGTGCACGTACGTGTGTGTGCAGGTACACCTTAATCGTCTGTGAGTTTGGGGAAGGCCTGACCTCATGTTAAGTGAATAGGTGGTGGTGACTGTTACAAAGTTATTCAACAGACATGCCCAAGTTCATGCCCAGACATGCATTCAACAGACTTGGGGCTTTAATAATCACTGTCTCATTTCATTGTCAAAGCCTCTTCCCCCCAAAAATCCCTGCTAAAATTCTGGCTCTGGTATTCCCATTTTTTCACACCTGAGAACACCGAAGGTCAGAGACAGTGAGAAACATGCCTGGGTTTGGTCTGGAAGGCCTGGCAGAGCCGGGATTCGAAGGGACTCTACCTGAGGAAGAAAGCCACCTGTCCTTTGTGTGTGCAGGCAGGGGCTCGGTCTACAGGGAGGGGGGTAGGTTCCCCCAGGAGCTCTCTGGTTCCTGGGGCGGGAGGAGGAGGTTCTTGCTGGCCCCATACCATCTCCTGCTGACCCTGCAGGACCACAGCTCATCCCTCTCTGGGACGTCCAGCTCCTGGGCAGAGGGGCCGTCTGTCTGTGGTACCATCAAAATGGTTATCACAAATGCCACAGCCCCAAACCCCACTCCACCGCAATTCTTTCCAGAGGAGAAAACGGGTAATAGTCCTCCAGGCAGCACCGTTGCCACCTGGGGAAGTTTCCACAGGAGAATTAACTCCCCCAGCAGGGACGGGGTGTAGGCATCCACCCACCCCACAGTCTGGGGGGAAACTGAGGACTCTGTTAACTCCCTCAGGCCCAGGTAAGGGTTTGCATCCGTGCGGCTGGAGCTCAGGTGACCCAGGGACACTGTTCGTCAAAGAGCCAGCACTCTGCGTGGCTTCTGTGTCACTGAGTCTGGGATCCCGGAGCTCAGAGATCTTAAAAGTCTGCGCAGTAATGCAAATTTCACTTTGGCAGTGGGTGTGGGGGACAAGGAGCCATGGGTGGGAGCCTAGGTGCCTCAGGGACCCATGAGATGGCTCAAGGAGCAATGTGATGTAGCAGGAAAGATAAAGGATGTGGGCTTTGGTGTCATCTCTGCTCTGATCCAGGCCACCTCACTTAATGAGCTGTGTGACTTCAGGCAAGTTACATGCCCACTCTGAACCTCAGTTTCCTCATCTACAAAACGGAGGTAATAATGCTCACAGCATGTGGATACCAGGTCTCTAAAAGAGAGGGAAACATTTCCTGAGCACTTGCTGTGTATTAGGTTTTATTAAATCGAATCCTGTGTAGCAAACTTTATCTGCATTATACAGATGAGAAAATTAAGGCTCAGCAAAGTGAAATGAATAGTCCCAATCCAACGGCTAGAAGGTGGCAGAGCTAACAGGCAGTGGGAGGGGTGCCAACTGATGCATCCGGGCTGCTGGGGCTGGGGAGGTGGAGGCAGCACCAGGGCAAGGGTGGCCCATAGATGGGTTCTGGCTGTTCCCGTGGGCAGGTCTCAGAGGGCTGGCCAGACTCAGTGTGGGGTAGGCCAGGCAAGGAGGGAAGGCGGGTGGATGGGACACTCAGAGGGGAGGCATTCCCTCTGGGAATGGTTCTCAGCCAGAAGGATGATGTGCTACCCAGTCCTAAGCTCTGCTGCCTTGTTCTCTGGGGACAGGGCAGGCTGGCAGGTATCCCCGTGTGGGCTGGGGACAGGGGGGCAGAGGCCTGTGAGGGGAGAATGGGGCTCCCTGCTGCCACCTTCTCACTCCCCAGCCCCCCGTTCCCACTTATCTGTCCCTTCTCCCCAAAGCCGTGCTGACGGCACACACTCACTCCTACCCCCACTGGCACATACACATGCAGTGGCTTTCCCACTTTTGCGGAGCATCTCACCTAGACCCTGACTCAGTTGCTTCTCCTCATTCCAGTCCTTAAAGCCCAGTCACCCGTCACCTCCCCCTCGCCTGCCTCCCAAGGCTGGCCGAGCTGTGAGGGGGGAGAGTGGGCACATAGCCCTACTCTGCCCTTGGCAAATAAGTGAATCACCAGATTCCCCGCTCACCTCTCCCCCGGGGATCTTGGGAGTCCAGGAGGCCTGGTTCAGGGGACCCAGAGAACCTGTCTTGCTTAACTACACCTTTAAACCCTCCTGGAGACACCTCATGCCCTGGCTCCATCAGGCACAAGGACGGACTTGTCACCGTCGCTGGACCACAAAAGCATACTTGGCTCCTGGGCTGAGGCCTCTGCCCACAAGAGCTGTTCTCCAGACCAGGGTTGCCATGGCAATGCCAGGTACTTGTGACCCAAAGAGAGAAGATGGCCCGAACATTGGTCCTGCATGCCTGCCAAGGCCCACACCTGCTGCTGGTGGGCGGGGAGCGGGCACAGGAAGGGGAGGCCTCGGGTGGGTTCGGGGCAGCTCCCATTCTCTCACCGTGGCTTTTGACTCTGGAACCTGAGTGCTGGTCCAGTTCTGACACTGCCTGGCTGCGCCACCCAGGCAGTCACTTTGCCTCTCTCCCCCAGTGCAGATGGAGGTGACTGAGCTTTATCAGTTCACCCCGAACCCCAGAGCCTGGCACAGTACCTGACCAGAGAGGCTGTGGGAAGCAGGGCAAACCTGGGGGCAAGGGCCCTGACCAGTGCTGGAGCCGTGTCCAGATCTGCATTGCTGTCTTTTTTGTTCCACTGTAATAACCCAGGAACAAGGAACCCAGTGTCAGTTGCTTATTAGTTACTTGTTCGTTCATTTGACTCATTTAAACACTTATCCAGTACCTACTGTATGCTGGCTGCTGTGCCAGGTTCAGGACAAGGGGGATGAGGAAGATGTGGTGCCAGCCCTCCTGGTACTCCCCGCTGAGTTCCCAGGCAGACCAGCCAGTCATGGGCGGCAAGGGCCGGTGGGGAGGAGACCAGCTTTGGAGGCAGTTCAGATCAAGGTCCAAATCCTGGCTGAGACCTGGAGAAAACACTTAAATACTCTGCGCCTCAGTTTCCTCTAACAGGAGCTACTTCCCAGGGTTGCTGTGAAATTTAAATAATCCATAGAAAATGCTGGCCACTTAGTAAGATCCCAATAAATGATGCTTCTTAATGACAAGGACCACAGCTGAGGCTCACAAAAGCACAGAGGGATGAGAACAGAGGGCACCCCAGGGTTAGCACTCGGACCAGTCCTGGTCCTGACTGACTTCCTGCTGGTATCCATGAGACCTCTTCAGACCCTGAGGTGGCTTCCCATGGATGTGCCTCAGTTTACCATCTCTCTCCCCCTCTCCCCAGTTAAGGGCCACGAGACAAGTTTGGCCTTCCTTGATGCTGCACAAGCAGAGGCCACCATTGTCCTCAGATGTCCCCATCCCAGCTGTCATCACACACACCACACACACTTAGCTGGGCAGGGAGCTGGCATGTAGCAGGGGCCACCCGTGGTGTCTGCTCCATCTCCCTCCCACACCCAAGCCCGGGCTCCACGGTGCTGCCCGGGAGCTGCCTCCACGATACCGGGCCCACCCTGCAGGCAGGCTCTTGGCATCTCAGCTCCCGTCGGCGCAAAAAACATTCTTCTAAGGGAAGGCCTGCAGCCTCACCAGGTGTCTTGATGGGCTGAGCCAGTGCATGACAGTCCTTGCAGCAGCAGGACAAGAGGGGTTTCTGTACAGGGACTGATGGGGGCATTGTCAGTGAGCTGAGTACCTGCAGCTGCCACCAGCTGGCCGTCCCAGTGGCTGGGGCCTAAAAGAAGAGAATTAGGCCCCAGACATCCTGATGTGGGGGGGCCTGAGGGCAGGGGTGGGGGACATCAGAGGAGTTCTGGGAAGCAAACTTGTGGGAGGGTCCCCTAGAAGAGCCTCCCAGATGCCCTGGGCTGGATGTGCAGGTGCCAGTAGCACCTCTGGGGCACCTAGATCATGGCATTGCCACAAGCCTTTAGGTGACTTGGGGATCTGCAGTAGTAGTTGCATTTGATCTTTATGCCCCCAAACAAGGTCCTGACCATCATCCCTCTTGAAAAGGCTTTTCCTGATGAGAGGCCTGAGTCCAGCACAGCAGGGATTCTGGTTGGCTGAACTCACCTGGGCCACACCCCCTGTGGATTGGGACTAGTTCCAGGATGGGATTAGTTCAAATACAGGCTGAGAAGCCCTGGTCCACAGCTGCCCTCCTCACTGCTGGCACCAGGCTAAGCCTCATTTCATCCTTCCCTCTCTCCCCGGTGAAGCCCCTGGGGAGTGTAGACGAGTCTGCTGTGGGCACCGCGAGGGGCAGAGGCACGCTGTCCCTCTTCCCTGTCGTCCAAGCTGAAACCTGGGGAGCACGCTCCAAACTCATGTTCTCTCTCCTTTTCCTCTCTTCCCTTCTCTTTCCCCGCATTTCGGCCTCTCGATCTCTTCCATTAAATAATACTGTGATGGATTGTAAAAGGTACTTAGCTGAGTCACAGAGTTTAGAGATGGAAGAGACCAATTAAATCATCAAGCCCATCTCTCTCCTGAGGAGAGGCGGAAAATAGGAGACAACAATAAACAACCTTATTGGGATATTAATTTAGGTGCCCGAAGGCCTTGACTTGTGTCTCTTAATATAATGCAGTGGATTTTTCCCCTTCCTTACTAACGTAATAACGGGGCCATTCTGTGGGCAGTTGGCTGCATGATGGCTTTTCTTTCCCTCCTTTTCCCACGGAAGGTCCAGATGGAGTTTCGGAAGAGCTGGGAGCGCTGGCGTCTCGAGCACTTGCACATGCAGAGGGACAGCAGCATGAAGCCCCTCAAGTGTCCCACCAGCAGCCTGAGCAGTGGGGGCACAGTGGGGAGCAGCATGTATGCAGCTACCTGCCAGGCTTCCTGCAGCTAAACCTCCAGCACCCACCCACCTGTCGTCCCACTGCAGGCGGGCCGGGAGGCCATCCCAGGTTGGAGAGACCCTCCTGGGGCCGGGGCAAGGAGGGACACACACTCGTATAGTACATCCCTGCTTCCCCTTCCCTGACCCATCAGACAGGCAAATGGGCAGTGCCTCCCGGGACCTGTGCACACATTTTCTCTAAGGAGAAGCAGCCTGTTAATTTGATCACTGTGGCGGGAAGAGAGGAAAAGCTATTGCTGCTAAAATGAGGATTTCTTCCCGTTAAGCCACAGGCCCCTGGGGTTCCCCCAGACAGAGCAGCAAATAAGCCCAGACTCAAACTCAAGGTCAATGGCTTATTAGTGGGATGTGGCTTGTCGGAGGAGCTGGTTTGGAAAGAGGCCGCTATAACCTCAGCCAGACACAGAGCTTGGGTAATGCAGGCCAACTCCATCAGCCTTGGGTGGGGGTCACCACCCCCATCTGTCTCTTTGTTAAGGGATGTTGTTCACAGGTCTGGGTCACTTGTTTCCCTTCGGCTTGTCCCTCATCTCTCCACCCAGATTCTCTTGGGGGAGGTTTGTTTGGGCCATAACCAGCAGCTGCTTCTAGGGTTTTCTTTGCTGGTGTCCAGTTTCCCCTGGGCATCTGTACGAATTGCTTTGGTGCCTGCCCCTGCCATGCCCAGGGAACCAGGGCAGGCCCACTGCCAGGGAGCCCAGCCCTAGGTATGAGCTCTGAAGTCTATTCTACAGATGCTCGAGAGTCCTCTGGGGTTCTCCTAGGAAATGTTAGCAGTGTCCAGGGGGCTTAGATTACCTGCTACTGTCAAGAACCTAGAGGGCAGAGAGAGAGAGAGAGAGAGCCTGTACCACACTATGGAAGAACTTTTTATTTCTGACCAGATTCTCTCTCTGGCATGGGAGTTTGGGTGCCACCTCTAACTTTAGGAAATGTGACCGAGACCCTTATGGGACAACTGCCAGCCCCCACTGTTACCATGGAGACAGTCCTCCCCTGCCCTGGGTCTTTTTCCCTCTGAAATCCCTCCCCCCGCAACTTGAGAGCCTGTATAGATTTCATTCATTTTTCTTTATTGCTGTGAATAGTCTGTATGTGCAAATGTGCCATTCTGATTTCTCCCACCTGGTGAAGACAAGAACTAAATCACTGCTGGTTGTGATGTTGTTGGGGGCGTGGGGTGGTCATTGATTGCACTCCATCCTTAGAGCTAATTAGCGTATGCCCTGCCTCCAGTCTCACCCCATAAATAGTGAGAGCAGAAACCTATCAATCCTGCCCCAGCCATGATGAGAGAGCAAACACATAGCCGTGCTATAGATTCCCCCCCCCAAAAGGGAACCAGTCAACCCTGGGGGGCTGGTGATGGAGTGCATTAGAGGAGAAGGACATTTCCAGAGCAGGAGAGCACTCTTGGGAGTCTCGACCTCCCGGAGAGCAGAGGGAGAGGCTGCAGACGAGTTCCTTTATGAGCCTGTCTCTCTTTCCTCATCCTTTTTAAGTGTTGGGAACCCTCCTCCAAAACCATGGATTCTCGTGTGCCCCTCAGAGAGGCATGTGATGTGCAGGCAGAATAATAATGGGACATAAAACACATCAAGCAGAAAATTTCTTATACTTCAGCTTTAGTGTTGTGTCGATGTTAATAGGGGAGCTGGGCCTCAGGCGAAAGAAAGCGGTGTGCAGACTGCCTGCCTCCCTGACTGCAGGGGGACGGCCATTCCCGCTTCCCCAGGATCGGGGCAGACTTCCTGGCTGGTGCCACGCATGCGGCTCTCTCTTTGGAGTGGGTAGCGGGGGTATGAAAACTGGCGGGCTAATGGGGGGTGCAGCTCTGGTGCAAGCATTTTGGCTTTGGATACATGAAAATTTAGTGAATATTAATACACTGCACAGCAACAAGACACATTGATATTCGAGAAATAAATTGTTCACGGGAAAAAATTGTGGGGAGAATAAATAAATTGTGTTTAGTTAGAAGGCACTGGGAAACTCATTTCACTGGGTTTAAACTGTAAGTAGAGTTCTTTTCCCAACTGGTACCAGTGATTTCTGATTTCAGAAGGCTCATCACACCCCACACTCGAAGTCTTTTAACATTGAGTAACTTTTTCCTTCTTGGATACATACCAGATACTGAACTGAAGGAAATATTTTCTTTGCTCCAAGATCCACACTATTACTATTCATTTGAACTGCAGTGTACTCCTTCCAAAGCTATCCCCAAACTCTCATAAGTGAAAAGTAACTAATAGGTCTGGGAACTGTGAATACAGTGTACTCTGAAATTCCACTAGCTGTTTACACACCTGATGCCCTAAGTCTGGAGCTTGCTGAGTACGTTCTTGCCTCCCCCTGTCCTGTGGATATTGCTGCTGACCCAGGGTGTGGGCACTGAGCTGTGCAGCCTGCAAGGTCTGAATCCAGCGCCCCAGCAAGCTCCCTTGAATTTATTAGGGGCTTAAATCCTGGCAGCTTGTCCTTACCATTTCAATCTTTGGAGCAGCTAAGCCAGAAAAACAAACCGTATGTTGCAAAGTTTCCTTCCATTTCAAAGAACTTTTCAGATTGTGGATATGATTTTCAATGGCCTCAGTGCAATTCTTGCTGCAGACCACACCAGTGGAGTTCCTGGAGACTCGAGAGCAGGGAAAGACAGTGGAGAACTGTCATCCTGCTCTGATCTGCAGACGTGGGGGGAGGCTTGCAGAGGTGACTTGTCCAAAGTCATAGTGCTAGATGGTGGCAGAGCGGGGCTGGGACCCAGGCCGACTCTTGCCTCTCAGATGAGTGAGGCCTCTGGGAGGGACAGGTGAAAAACATAATGGCCACACAAGATGCTCTAAAGTAAAAGAGCAGCCATGTTATCTGGGGTTTCCATTAAATAGTGCGCAGCAGCAAATGTGTGGTGAAGGTACCGTCTCCTTGATGACTTACCCTACTGAGAGGAGGGGTAGATTGTGCTGTGCTGTCTCTACTCCAGTGCATCTCTACTCCAGATTGTGCTGTACTGTCTCTACTCCTTAAAATTAAGCAATGAAGTACATAATAGCATGTGCATGCATAGAAATGGCAAGTGAGCCATTTCACATAGCAAGTGCAGAGTTCTTTTAGTGCTCTGGCTTACCGTTTTTCTGATGCACCTGTTCTTATTTGAGAAGTACAGATAGACACACAGAGTGGACTAAAGGAGCCTTAACAAAGGTTCTGCACCTCCCTTTTGTTTCTGTGGTACTGCCTGAAGTTGGAGAAGACCAGCCAACTGGGCGGCTTTAGCCGAGCAAAGGCGGCACAGCCACCATGAAGGGCAGGTAGAGTCGGTTCACGTCCATGCCTGGAAAGACTTGGTCACCTCATCAGTATGGGTCATGTTTCATTAACTTCCATCCCCATTCCCTCCAGTCTCTTTCTTACACAAGGGAAGAACACTGTGTATGTGTGTGTGTCTTTTGTCTTGTGCATAGCAGCATAAAGTTAGGAGATGATGAATCCAGAATCTTCCCACCCACTGTGAAGGTCATGGGACCACACTACCCAGGGTGAGGATGGGTGAGAGCCCGAGCAATAGATGCTTCCTCTCCATGCAGAGACAGGGCTCCCATTATCACTAATGCCTGCTACGTGCTCCGGGAAGGCAGAATCTATTCCACAGGTTTATTGTTCCTCCACTGATTCTAATCTGCAGTGCTGACCCTGCTGTTGGCTCCTTTGAGACAAACTTCATGAAAACCCTCAAAATATGTCATCTTGCTCTGCTAAGACAGCTGTGTGAATGACATTATAAATATTCAATAGAAACCCAATTAGTATCAACTCTTCTTCTTTCTTTTCACTGGAGCAAGTTTTCTTGGGAAACAAAACACCCCAATGTGAAAAACTTCCACAAACAACAGCACCAGGCCCCTACAGTATGACCTGCTGCTCAAACCAGCTCCCCAGCCTGGCGAAGAGAGCCTTATCAGGAAGTGTCGTAAGCAGTGTAACAGACCCTTTAGCTAATGCCGCAGTGTGTCTACAGTATCTATAATTACTTCTGCTCTGTCAATGGATACAGATTGGCAGGAAGCAGATAAGAATAATTGTTTTCCCATTAACTGCCCAAAGTCTCTTGGACTTGGCCTATACCTGAATCTGTCAAAGTGGAGAGTTTTCTCTCCTCCCTTTCTTTGGCCATTCTAGCCAGATTTTCAAAACCTCATCCATCAGTTGTGCATTTTCCTCTGATGCATACACCCCCCCACCCCCCCCACAATGAGCCGCCCACACTCCTCCTCAGTAATAAGTGACCCTACTAGCCATGCTGTGAATGCCCTTTTCTCAGCTGTGACCAATTCAGGGGTGCAGCTGATAGGGAGGCGCTGCCAAGCCTGACAGTGATGCCCTGCGCTCCACACTCCAGTGCAGCCAGAGCACTGCCTCCAGCACTTGGATCTGAACTTACACTGGGGTTGCACAATCTTTCTGAAGGGGCCTGTCAAAACCATCAGTAATTAGCCAGCCCGGACAATCTAGCATGACTAATTATCACTGTGTCAAAGCAATCCAGGAGAAAAAAAAAAACAGATAAATGAGAATATTTGGATGTGGGGAGAGAAGAGGTCCCCGCCATGTTTGGAACATGGAACAAGTTGTTGGCTTCTTTGCCTGGGAGCCTGTGGAGCTGTGAGGACGGGGCCCGATGCCTCCCAGACAGGCAGGGCTGTGTCTTGCCAGAGGGTGCACACTTTATTTCCAAGTTTGCAGTTCTTCTATGCTCCTCCCACTAAAAATAATCACATCTTCCAAAACTCAACAATCCCCTTGGTTTTGGAGGGGGGCGGGTGATGAAGATATTTAAAGGTACCGAAAGAGTTGAGAGCCAAGGTTGCTGGAGGGACAAAAGCTGAATTTCTGTGTTCAGTGCTTTTGTGGGATGTTTACTCCTCACGAGTGTTTAATCAAGATCATGTTCGTGCAATTTCTCCATGTAGAAATTCATGTGAAATACAACCTGCATCTATAGGTAGCAAATGTGTATGATGTATAATTCCTTGTACAGATGTGAACAGGTTCTTGCTCTTTCTTAATTTGCCCTGTAAGTCAAATAAAGCCTGTCATTATTATGAGTTTCCTTGTTCTTCTTTTGGGAGAGGAGGTTTTCTGCAAGGTCAACCTATGTGACTCACAGTGCAGTGGGAAAACACAAAAGATGCTGTTTCTGGCCCAAGGGGAAAAACTCACTTATTACTCGTATTGTGATTTTCATCTTCAGAGCACTTACCAAGTCCTAATTTATCCATCACAGACTTTGCACAGAAACTGCAATGTCATTTAATTAGAGAAGTTGGGTGCTTGAGTGGCTTAAACAAAGACTGATGGCCAAATGGATGTGTATTCTAATTCCACTCATTCATTTGGTATCCCTGTCTAAAGGAACTCAGTCCATTAAATCCATTTTTTTAAAAAATCCCATAAAAGCATAAGCCTTGTTTGCAAAGCAGATAGAGAAGTTGAATGGAGCTGCTGATTAGGAATTCATCTTCAAAAGTCCCCACAACTTTTGGCTGCAAAAACCAGTGGGCATTGAGTCAGTGGAAGAAGCTGCTGGATCCTCGAGCAGTTCCTTGTAAAGAACCCACACACAGACTCACCTACTCAGACTCACTGCCTCTGAGCTCCAGCACTGAGGTGGCAGCTTGAAAGGCACCAATGGCATACAGGGAGGGACTGAAGTGCTTGACATCAAGGTGAGCAGAGGCCATTGTCCCTTTTCTAAACCTTCCTCCAACACAGCAAGAGATTTGGCAAGCTGGTACCGTATCTGAGACTCCACCAACCTGGCTAACACTGTGTGACCAGCCTTGGAGATCCCCAGAGACTCTGCCCCACCCAATTTACAGGCCCATCCAAGGTGTTTTTCCATATGAATGGCTGGTCTTGGCTCATGCTGCACAAACTCCTAAATCCTCTCAGAAAAGGAACAGTTGACTGCAGTGAACCCCAGGCCCAGGGCTAGTAGCAGCCAGTCTAGATTCACAGCTTAGCTTCACCTAGGAATCTCCAAGCCCAGCACAAGTAGCAGCCATCTCGTTGCTTTACAGCTCAGGCAGGGTGGCCTGGGTGAAACACAGGAGGAGGCTGACCTTTGCCTGCACCACCCAGAAAACCCCAGGGCCAATGTACCCAGTGGGCAGCTACAGACCACGTCAGAGCACCACCACCCTGCCCCTGTACAGCTGAGGGCAGAGGTTGGTGGTCAGTGGTGACACTCAGGCCTTGCAGCTGATTGGCCTGGGTAAATCCCTCCCATGGACCTGCCGAGAGCAATCAAGGCGTAACTACAAGAGGCGGATGTACTCAACCCACACAAAGGCTGCACCTCAAGTACGCAGGTGGGTGACAGGGGAGGCTGTGCCACTGGACACTATGGGACACCTACTACATTAAGGCACACTACCAAGATATGGGGTCCAACCAGCTCTACCTAACACATAGAAACAAACACAGGGAGGCTGCCAAAATGAGGAAACAAAAACATGGCCCAGATGAAAGAACAGATCAAAATCCCTGAAAAAGAACTAAATGAAATGGAGCTAAGCAGTCTATCAGATGCAGAGTTCAAGACAATGGATATAAAGATGCTCAAGTAACTTAGTAAGGACCTCAACAGGATAAAAAAAAGATCAAGAGATAAAGAATATACTAATTGAAATAAAGAACAATTTACAAAGAAATAACAGTAGAGTGGATGAAGCCAAGAATCAAATCAATGATTTGGAACATAAGAAAGCAAAAAACCACCAATCCAAACAAGCAGAGAAAAAAAATCCAAAAAATGAGGATAGTATAAGCAGCCTCTGGGATCCAACTTCAAGAGATCCAACATTTGCCTCATAGTGGGGCAGAGGGAGAACAGAAAGAGCAAGAAATTGGACATCTATCTGAAAAAATAATGAAAGAAAACTTCCCTAATTCAGTGAAGGAAATAGATATGCAAGTCCAGGAAGCACAGAGTCCCAAACAAGATGGATGCAAAAAGGCCCACTACAAAATACATCATGATTAAAATGCCAAAGGTTAAAGATAAGGAGAGAATCTTAAAAGCTGCAAGAGAAAAGCAGTTAGTTATCTACAGGGGGGTTCCCATAACACTATCAGATGATTTCTCAAAAGAAACTTTGCAGGCTAGAAGGGACTGGCAAGAAATTTTTAAAGTCATAAAAAGCAGGGACTTACAGCCAAGATTGCTCTACTCAGCAAAGCTATTATTTAGAATTGAAGGGCAGATAAAGGGCTTCCCAGAAAAAAACTAAAGGAGTTTAACATCACCAAACCATTATTATAGAAAATGTCAAAGGGACTTATTTTAGGAGAAAGAAGATCAAAACTATGAACAATAAAATGGCAAAAATATATACCAACAATTGAATCTAAAAAACAAACTAAGCAAACAAGAACAGAGACAGAATCATAGATACAGAGAATGTTGTGATGGTTGACAGATGAGAGGGAGGTGTGGGGAAATGGGTGAATAGGTAAGGGGATTAAGAGTACAAATAGGTAGTTATAGAATAGCCATGGGGATGTAAAGGACAATATAGGAAATGGAGTAGTTCAGGAAATGAAGTAGCCAAAGAACTTATACACATGACCCATGAACATGAACAATTGTGGGGGGGACTGCCTGTAAAAGTTGGGGGTGCTGGGTGGAGGGGGGCAATGGGGGGAAAATCAGGATAACTGTAACAGCATAATCAGTAAAATATAATTTAAAAAATCATCTTCAGAACAATGAACTTTTCACCAGTTTAAATCTTTGGTTGCTTTCCAGGTTTGCAATTCACTTTTTTTTTTTGTATTGTATTTTTCTTTTTTTTTTTTAATGATTTTTTAAAAATTTTATTTAGTTATTTTTCAAGTACAGTTTTTTTGTCTATTTTTCCCATCCCAGCCTCCCCCGCCCCTGCAATTCACTTTTATGGAAGAGCAGATTCTCCCCAATTCCTCCATCATTTCGGTTACCTGCTGAAGATAAATGTACTTACCTGAATGTATCCTGAAACACACCTCTTTTTTAGACAAGCTATGGCAACTGTACCGTTCAAACAGAGTAACTCTTACTCTGAGAGCAAACTACAGATATTGCCAACTCACGATATCTGCAGGCAGAATGTTTGCATTTTGGCATGTCTGCATATTGATTTTTTCACCTTTCTACATCTTTACTCTGACACTGAGCTAGAGGAAGACAGAGCTCAGAGCTGTTTCTCTCTTTGCCACCCCCAGGGAAACACCTGTCTAAACCAATACAGTTGACCCTTGAAAAACATGGGTTTGAACTTTGAGGATCCACTTATACTCAGATTTTTTTCTATAAATAAAGTCAGCCTCCTATCCCTGGATTTTGAATCCATCTGCAGATTCAATCCACCACAAATCAAAAACAGTATTTTTGATCCAGGTTGGGAATCCATGGATGTGAAAGGCTGGCTGCATGCATTGTTCTATATAATTTTTTATACGGGACTTGAGTCTTCATGGACTTCTGGAGTGCTGGAGCCAATCCCCTGCAGATACTGAGGAATGTGTATAGTAGTTAAGGTTTTGGGGAGTCAAAAATTATACGTGGATTTTTGATGGGGCAGAGGTGAAGTCAGTGCCTCTAACCCTTGCATGTTCAAAGGTCAACTATAATAATCTCATTTGTAGGATCCTGTAAGTTAGATGCGACCTCAGGAAAAGAGTGTGCACGATGGTTTAATAGGGCTAAATGTGAGGCTGAGGAAAGGGCAAGGAGAGCTGTCCTGCTCTGCAGAGGCCCAGCCATGAGGGTAACAAATGAAGATTCTTGGACTCCAGACACATCCATATTCACATGGAATATAAAGCCACATTCAGGCCTGGCTGGTGTGGCTCAGTGGTTGAGTGCCAGCTAGTGAACCAAAGGGCCTCAGGTTCAAGTCTCAGGACACACTCCTGGCTTGTGTGCCAGGTCCCCAGTAGGGGGGGGTGCAAGAGGCAACCACCGATTGATGATTCGCCCTCTCTTCCCCTATCTAAAAAATAAATAAAAACTTTTTTCAAAAAAAGCCACATTCAAGTGATTGATGCCCCATATATGGGGATAACTGAGTTCCACATTGTGAAGGATCTCATTCATATGCATCCCAAGAGTTGGGAATCATCTCCCTCACTGCATCTTCTCTCACTGCCCTCTCACAAGCCAATGCCAGCCCTGGCCGGCATGCACTGTTGGGCACAGTGCTGCAAAGCGAAAGGTCGCCGGTTTGGTCCCTAGTCGGGGCGCATGCCTGGGTTGCAGGCCTGGTCCCCAGTTGGAGAAGTGTGAGAGGCAGCCAGTCGATCGATATTTCTCTCTCGTTAGTTAGTGGTCTTCTCCCTCTCTTAACCTCTCTCTAAATAAATAAATAAAACCTTTAAAAAGAGAAAAGGAAAAAAAAGCCAATGCCAGAAACACATGCAGTTCATTGTCCTTTAATCTCTCTTTTCCCTCCCTCCCTCGCCCCCATCACCACCCTCACCAACATGATAAAGAGGAAGTCTGAGAGCAGTGGGGCCTCTCTTATCAGAAATAGTGGGGGGAACCCAAGCCATCCAAATTAGAATGGATAACGAATATAGCCAGATAGCTGGAGAAGATGGGAAAATAGACCCGACATGGGACAAGGAAGGAGTAGAAATTAAATGTCCCCAAAGGTGGGATGGGGAAGTGTAAAGAGATAATGAAGAGGCCGGCACATAAGGCAAGTAAATAAAGGAGAACAGCAGACTGTTTAAATGTGGAAACGAGCTGCAGTATAAGAGGGGAGGGAAATGCAGAGGTGGAAAGAAGAATGAGAATTACAAGTGACAAACTAGATGGATCCAAGGGAGGAGCCCATGTCTAGTCACTGTTATTAACTTCTTCTTCCATAAATCTGAGCTGTTTCTCTGCAGAGTTCTCTAATCCCAAGGTGATAGATTATTCTCTTTAGTACAAAGGTTCATTTTAACTAACAAAATAATTTTAGAAAGATAAAAAGACCCACAGCCTAGAGTAAATCCAACAATTAAAATTTCCCCCCAACTAATAGAGGGCACCAGT